GAGGCCCCGCACCAACCCCTCTCGGCGTCGTCGCTTTTTCATAACTGGTAGCACCCTCGCCCCTATCTCTGCACTCCAAAGGGAAAGCCGTCGTTATTCCGGCATTGACCCCCTGGGTAGTTCGCTGGGCGGCCCCTGCACCTGCGGAGCACCGGGCGGGGGGTGGGGGAAGGCGCTGAGTAACTGGAAGGCAAGTTCACTTCCGGCACGGGCGACGGCGGGAGGGTCGAGGACGGTCGGAACCCGTGAAGCTGTGAAGTACAAACCAAGCCCACCGTGCAAAAAAAAAAGTGCAAAAAAGTTCGTAGCAAATGAGATGGGCAGTGGAGTTGTAAATACAAAGGCATTTTATTACATTAAAGGGAAAAAAGCTTAGAAGTAATAACATTAAGCTCACTGCCATCATGTGTACAGGGTTCCCCAGATTGTAAATTCTTGCGGAAATAGACTGATTGTAAATTCTTGCGGAAATAGACTGCCAAGTCTTTGTCCTGCTATCCAGCCCTGCTGCATTGGTTCGGCTATCGCCTCCCTGAGGTCTCACTTTTTTTTTTTTTAATTGCCAACTTTTATTTAATTACAGCGCCCTGTTCCTACTTAGACAGCCGACTCAGCTACTCTATCCCTCCTATCTTTCTCATCGTCTTTCATACCCTCCTTGAGGCCAGGGAGCCCATTGGCATTTTGAATGGCTTCTTTTGTGGGGGAGCCCCAGGAGTGGTCTTCACAAGTGGCTTTGGGCACTCTCTAAATAGTTAGTCTCAGAAACACACCAGGGCAGTTCTACTCGCCCCTGTAGGGTCGCTGTAAATCAGAATACCAGTGAGAGTTTTGGGGTTTTTCCCCTACGGAAACCTGAAAGGTTTTCCTAAACACTCAGAGGTACTCTGGGTTTTGCATCCCATCTTAATTTTTCTCCCCCAGTGGTGGGTTTAACCAGCCAGCCTTTTCTGTCAGCAGCCAAATGCTTAACCACTGAGCCACCAGGTGCCTCCGTAAAACCGCTACTAGTACCCAGGATTACTTTATTAGCTACTTCTCATTTCCTCCTCTAGCTTTTGGTAGACTAATGGTTTGAAAGTAATTATTAAGTACAGCCTGTGACGGAAGCTGAATTGGACTCAGATAAAACATCATTTACAAGAGGAATGTCAGTGCTTTGTTGATCAGTAGAAGCATACAAATTTATAGAATTTTGTTTTTCTGCTTTTTTATATAACAGAGTTGGCAATAGCACTGAAAGGTGGATTTGACTCTGACCCTCAGTTTTCTCTTCAGCAAAATAGGTATTTTTTCCACCTCAAGAGAAAGCATGCATTCAACATGCAAACAACTTAATATTGTTTGCATAATCCCCATTAACTATTGGGGGTTAAAAAAACTCCCAGGTGACCGGTTTACATGTGAAGTGTTCTATCTATTGCCTCTAGTGATTTTAATGATAATATTTTTTTGCAGATGAAACAGAATTTAGAAATTTCATCGTGTGGCTTGAAGACCAGAAAATCAGACAGTACAAGATTGAAGACAGAGGGAATTTAAGAAACATTCACAGCAGCGATTGGCCCAAGTTCTTAGAAAAGGTAATCACCGGAAAATAAAATAGAAATCACATTCTTAAAGATTGTGTTATTTTAAAACAATAACGAATACTGATCAAATATTGAACTTTTTTTCTTGTTATCTTGATATTAGAGAAAATTTTATAAGCTCCTATGAAACTTAAAATAGTTTTCTCTGGAAATACTGTGTTTTCTTAAAAAAAATTCCATAAATAATAGTTAATAACTCACTTTAATTATGTGACAAAAATTGGGTTCCTTATATTAGATTAAAAGTACAAAAATAATATACTTTTGATACTTAGGCAAAGGAGGACATTATTGACATGCATAAAATTAGGACATTTGTTTATGGTTAAGTATAATGTACACAGAGGTCCCTTGTTTATAAGATAGAAATAATATACCGTAAATGGTTTCTATGTGTATTACATACTGCCTCTACAATTTTGTGCAAACTCATTAACATCTATGCTTTAATTTTCTCACCATTGGTTAATGATAACAATGGTGCTTTCAGGGGTGGTGGGTGCTATTAAGGTCCCTAGTTGGCACAAGCAGCTTGTGCTTGACTAATAACTTAAAGGTTGATCATGTGAACTCCCCTAGTAGTACTGTAGAAGAAAGGTGTGGTAACCTGCTTATGTAAAGGTTATAGTCTGCAGACCTGTGGAACATTTTTATACTGTACAGACTCAGCAGTACTGAATTTAGGAGTGTCGTTAGTTAATGGGGAGCCCTGGTGACGTGGTTACATGTTGGGTTGCAGACCGCAAGATCAGCAATTCGAAACCACCAGCCAGCTCCAAGGGAGAAAGATGGGACTTTCTACTCCCATACAGAGTTAAACATTCTTGGGGACTCCTAGGGGCAGTTCAACTCCGTCCTGTATAGGGTCACTCAGTCCGTATCAACTTGATGGCAGCGAGTTTGGTTTTGGTTTGCCTAGTTAATGGTACACTGAAGATGTTCACAGAGGAAGCTCCCCCACAGCAAATGTTATATGCTGTTTATCATTATTCCCTCTACTGTGATCTCCAAAAAGAAAAAAGGTACTGGAGTAGATTCCAACTTACGGCAACTTCTTCAGTACCAGAGTCAAAAGTCTGACATTCCAGGCTCAGAGCCACACTCATTGGTGTGCCGGGGTTTTCAATGACTGGGGTTTGTTTTTGTTTTTCCCGAAATACATCACCAGGCCTATCTTCTGAGACACTCTTAATTTTTCAGTTGGCAGCGTAGCATGTTACTGTTGGCACAACCCAAGAACGGACTACAGCGGAATCATTTTCCTTTGCTCTTAAAAAGCTTTCTTTTTTAAGACTTAGAAATAAACTCTTATAGTTTTGTGTTTGTTTATGCTACATTTTACTTAAGGCTGTTGATTCTTAGTATAGATTTCTATATATAGATAAGTATTTAATGAATATAGAATGCTGATGCTAAACACCCTAAAGTGACTATAAAGTAATCCAATTCCAGTGTATTGGAATTTACACTTCCCAGGTGCTGTTATACTTAACGTTGGTGGTTTTGAAATGATGATGCCCCTTCTCATTTGAAATGACTTTTAAATCTTCGGTTACATCTTTTGAATATCCTTAATATGGACAGTTTCTAAATTGTGAAAGTGGGTTTGGTTTTTTGATTCATGGCTAAGGTCTGTTTTTAGCAGAGGGATCATATTTTAGTTTGGAAATGAATTAAGACTAAAAAGTACTGATTTTTTCATTATTCCTCATAGGATTCTCAAAAGGGAGGTCCAGAAGTTTTGAGTAAATAGCATCTTGCTGGAATTAGATTTTAAGGCCCCAAGAGAACTATTTGGAGGCCAGAACTCATTTAGATATGCAGCTTCTGGCACTTAAAGTGCTTAATTACAGCCACATGTACATTGCATGGCTTCCTTTAGTCAGTGGCATTATGTAAATGTTTAAATTTAGAAACTACCGAGTTATTTTTTGCCCTCTTTTTGTAAGTTGTCTTTTTATTTAATTGCTGTGTGTGCCTTGGGTGCTGTAACTAACCACCCCTGACTCTAGTCCCAGAGATAATGCATCATCGCTGGCAAGTGTAATCCACTTTAGGGCTTAGTTTCCTTCCTCATCTTTGAAGAGTAAGTTACTCTAGATCAGCAGTGTCCTACTGCCATCTATAAAGGTAAACTTTCAAAAAGCATGGTGAAACTTTTTCCCCCCATCTTAATAGCATGTTTCCTTTGGGTTATATAATGCATCAAAAATTTAGTAATGTCATTGTTATCCAAAGTTTTTAATTGTCTCCATGCCAGGAAATGGGAAGATTGATTATATTACTTAATAATGGCTGTTGAACAAACTCTGAAATCAGGAGGTTGGGCATGTAGACCAAGAGGTCATAAATGAGGAGCTCCAAAGAAAGGTGTCTTTCAACTCCCCCAATTTTTTTGTTTCTGTGATTTTATGATAATGAAACTTTTTGGTTTGTGCTTTTCTATTTACAGTATCTCAAAGATGTTAACTGTCCTTTCAAGATTCAAGATCGACAAGAAACAATTGACTGGCTTCTTGGCTTAGCTGTTAGACTCGAATATGGAGATAATGGTAGGTTTGTGGGGAATATGTATTTTTAAAGAAAGGAGAGTATAAAGGTTTAAAGAAATTACACCAAACTCAACGGCTATCGAGTTGATTCTGACTCATAGCAACCCTATAAAGCAGGATAGGGCTGCCTCTTTGCCCGGGTGGTATAATGGGTTACATGTTGGATTGCTAACCTCAAGATAATCAGTTCAAAGCCACCAGCTGCTCCTGAGGAGAAGGATGAGGCTGTCTACTCCCATAAAGAATTATGGGAGTAACCACCTGGGTTCCTAGAAAAAAATGACTAGGTTGTGTTTTTTCTCTTACGTTGTTTTATCTTTTGTTCATTTAAATCTTTTACTTCTTCACACACCCCCTTTCAGCATCTATTTAGAATTGTACTTTTTGTTTAGAACCTTTCTTCTGTATCCAAGGTACCAGCTCCCTCAATCTCCCAAAGTAGCTGAAAAAGCATTTTATCTTTATTACCACAAAAAGTTAAAATTATTTTTTTGCTAATTTTCACTGGTTTGGGTTTTTCTTTTGAATTTGGGAATGGAGTCTGTTTACAGACTTTGGTATATTTGCCACTTTGCAGTTTGCACCTTAGCCTTTCATGTTTAGAAACTGGTGTTAGTGTCCCAGAATTGATTTCTACATGTTGGTAGCAGCTAGTAGTTTCACAATTACCTTTGAAATTCTGTTACCACTGCCATCATTCTAATTAGGCTCTTGTCACTTTCTGCTAACATTATTATAATATTTTTCAAACTAGTCTCTTGTTAATGTCACCTAACCTGGCATACACATGGGTCACCAATCGGAACCTTCTGAAACTTAAATCAGTTTTAGAACACTATTGGTTCAGAGCACAGCATAAAGTTGTGTATTAACTGAGCATCATTGGCTTACAGTCTTCTACAAAAGCAACTTCAAGTTTGGTACTTGGGGTCTTTCATGACTAGTGTCCAACCAGTGATTGCATACTTGACATGTTGCCAAACAAAAATTAACCATTTCCTTTTTGCGGCCTTTTCTTCCTTTCAGTTTCTTGGCTCTCAGTTATCCCTTGACTGATCGTGCCATTTCACTCAAGGTCTACCAGTCGGAATCCTACCCATGGTTTTAATGTCCAGCTCAAATGCCATCTGCAGAAATCTTTCCTTCTGAATTTGTATAGCTTCTGCTCTGCCTTTAAGTCATTTACCACTATTTCCTCGCCCCACTGCGTTGTAGCCAATTTTCAGTGTGGTTTTCTGTGTGGCACCTTCAATCCCTTTCCTATTGTTGCTGCAACAGGTTACCACAAATTTAGTCACTTAAAACAAAGGTATATTATTTTACAGTTCAGGAGGCCAAAAGCCCAGAATTGGTCTCAGTGGGCTAACATCAGTGTGTTGGTGGGCTGGCTCCTTTGGAGCTTCTAAAGGAGAACCTGTTTCCTGGCCCTTTCCTGTTGTCAGAAGGAACCTGCATTCCTTAGCTCCTGGTACTTTCCACCAGCTTTACAGCTAGCAGCCTATCACGATGACATTTTCTGCCCTGATTCTCCCTCCTCCTGTTAAATCAGTTTCTGGTGACTGATGACATTGGGCCTATTCATCCATACCTGCAAGACCCTTTTTGCTGTGTTACTTAAAATGTAATCAGGTTCTAGAGATTGGTTCATGCACATCTTTGCGGGAGCCATTGTTCCCTCAGCAACAGCATCCATCATAATTTCATGCAAACAGTATATGATTTTCAACCTCAATAAATATTGGCTAAGGCAATATATGAATGTTTATATATGTATCTATTAGAAGCAGCCAGGTTTTGCTAGTGCCTTAGATTTCATTTTCAGTAGTCTTTCAAAGTAATTTTAAGCATACTTCTCATTTGGAATTTTACTTTCAAAAGAAAACACTTGCTTTTCTTTAGAAAATAACTTGTAATTAGCCTTGGTAGTATTACTTGATGTTTAGGACCCTTTTCCAAGATCTTTCTATATGTGAATTAATTTGCAGTAATGTTGGAATGAGGGGATCCCAACACTCAAGCAGGTCCTCAGGAGCGACTTTGCAATTGTGGAAAATACTAAAGACAGTGGGGTGTAGGGGCTCCTCGTCCTGTGTCAGGACTGAGAGAGTGAATGTATTTTCCAATAGGCCTATATAATGGGGCTTACAGATCTTTCATAAGGCATGCATGTCCTACAACTAACACATTACATAGTTAATAGGTAATATCATAAGGTAGTAACATAATAAACAAGCAATGAGGTAAGTCAGTATCTTGACTTAGTGCTAGTTGACCTCAAATCCCCCTGAGACCTTCCCAGGTGACTGCTACATTTATGGTGGGTTGGCTACAGAACCTGATTGCTTTGTATCTACAGATAACAGATAATGTAGGCATTATGAAGTAGCCCGTCACAGAAATGACTCATCTTCTATGGTAGCTCCTTTATGACATTTCCTTTATGGTGGTGGGGGTTATTGGAGGGACTGTCCAGTCGTGCGAATGTATATTAAAATTTATTTATATCTTATAACCGTAAGACTCTTCCCCCACCAGAGTCAGCTTTCCAGACCGTAATTTTGAGCATGGATGATTTAACTGTAGTATATTCTTACCTAGTCCCTCAGATTACCACACCTCAATATATTCCATAATTTATCACAAGTATTTCTCAATTATTCCAAATGGGTAGTCATATTCCTATTTGTTTTACACTGTCTAATTAATATTCCATTTATCACATTTTTTTAAAACTTTAAACTCAAATTACTGAAGTACTGAGAATAGCAGGTATTATGTGATTGGATATTCTTTCAGTAGCTATCATTCTTTTTGTTTTTTTAATCATTTTGTTGGGGGCTCATACAACTTTCCCAATCATACAGCCATCCATTGTGTCAAGCACATTTGTACATTTGTTGCCATCATTCTCAAAACATTTGTTTTCTACTTGAGCCCTTGGTATTGGCTCTTCATTTTTTCCCCATCCTCCCTTCCTCACGAACCCTGGATAAATTATAAATTATTATTATTTTTTCATGTCTTACACTGTCCAATGTCTCTCTTCACCCACATTTCTGTTGTCCATCCCCCAGGGAAGGGGTTGTATGTAGCTCCTTGTGGTCAGTTCCCCCTTTCTCCACCTTCCCCTTCCCCTCTTGGTATCACTACTCACTGGTCCTGCGGGGTTTAGATGTCTGGATTCCCTGTGTTTCCAGCTCTGATCTGAACCAGTGTACATCCTCTGGTCTAGCCGGATTTGTAAGGTAGAATTGGGATCATGATAGTGGTGGGGAGGAAGCATTAGAGAACTTGAGGAAAGTTGTATGCTTCGTGGGTGCTGTATTGCACCCTGACTGGCTCATCTCCTTGTGACCCTTCTGTAAGGGGATGTCCAGTTGCCTACAGATGGTCTTTGGGTCTCCACTCCGCATTCCCCCTCCTTCACAATGATATGCTCAGTAGCTATCATTCTAATCACATTTTTTAATAATAGTATAGTATGGTGTTTTCAATAAATACTGTTGAGGAACTAGTTCATATCTGATGTAAATTTTCTGCTATAGGAAAAGAAAGTCAACATAGTTAAAAGGTAGCTACAAAAGTGCATTAAAAGTCTAAACTAAAAAAAAAGGCTAAACTAGAACAAGTTTTTGTTTAAAACAGACTGATAAAAATGATTAAAGTATTAATACTGTCTAGTAATAATATTCCTTACCAATAGGAGGTGCTGATGTTCCCTTGTGGTTTTTCCTTAATATGCTGTGTTTTCTTGATATGATTTAAATTTATTTTAAAGTATTCTTTGAAAGCATTGTGAATATTGTGCTTAGTTATACAGTGCTGCTGTCACAGATATCACTGAAGTGGATGACTTTGCTGTGTTATATGTAATCACAGGTTCTAGAGATATATTCATGGACATGTTTGAAGGAGCCATTGTTCCCTCAGCAACATTGTTCTCTTGGAATCCCCAGGTGTTAAATTTTTACTTCATTTGCACATTCTTTTTCTTCCTTCATCCTGCCCTCCTATTTCAATAGACATTTTCTAAAAGCACTGATTATGATCATAGTACCCCACCTGTGAACATTAGATTGATTCTAACTCTAGCAGTCCTATAGGACAGAACAGTTGTTTCCGTACTATTTCAAGGCTGTCATCTTTTCAAGCGCAGACCGCCCTGTCTGTCTCCTCTGAACAGCTGGTTGTCAGTGGGGCACTTTCACCACTGTGCTACCAGGTGTCCTGACAATAGTACTGTCTCATTTTGATGGGCAATTGTTTCTATTGACAGTTTCCACACTTCGTTTTTTTTAAAGGAAGCAATCCTGGATCACATTATGTTTAGCATTGTACTAGTTGGTGGTGGCGTTAGCTACCTCCAAGTCGCTTCTGACTCATAGCTGCCCTGTGTACAACAGTTCAAAACCCTGACTGTTCCTGCGCCGTTCCCATCTTGGTTAGGTGTGAGCCCATTGTTGCAGCTACTGGGTCAGTACTCCATCTTAGCGAAGGTCTTCCTCGCTTTGGCGGCCTTCTACTTCACCAAGCATCTTCTACTGGGGACTGGGCTCACTTCCTTGCTTCCATGGGGAATTGACTCTCCCATGATTTCCAGTCTTGAGAAATAATTTTTTTCTAAATTTAAAATATATCATTCAGATGAAGATTGGGGGGGGGGGCTTTTTAGTCATTTTTACATTGATACTCATAAAATGAAATCCTTACTTTTTCTTCCATTCTTACATAGCAGGTTTTATGTGAATCTAACTTTAGACCTCATCTAAAATTCACATAATGCTTAAAATTACCCTTAGAACTGTTAATGAAAAGATATTTGTGTCAAGCATTCTAGAAATTGGCTTAAACAAGAAGTTATAGTCATGTTGTCATCTGTTATGTTGGGTGGGGGTAGAGGGGAGAGGTTTTAGGTGTTTTTCAAAAAGTTTGTGGGAAAATTCCACTCTGTTTTTCCAAAAATACCATTTAATTTTCCCACAAACTTTTTGAAGTCCCCATGTATGTTGTATATAAAAAAAGAACTTTTGTTGATTGGATGTATTGTCCCTGGATATAATTTGTTTGGCATCAAATCAGTAGTACTGATTGTACCTTAAGTTGCAATTCTAAAAATGGTATTTTTGCTGCCTATTTTTACAGCTGAAAAATACAAGGACACAGTTCCTGATAATTCAAAAAATGCTGACAATGCAGCTAAAAATGCAGAACCACTGATCAACTTGGATGGTAAATATATTAATGAATATGTGAGGTTTTTCATCAGTCTACTTTCAATAAACTAAGAATGTTTTGTAGACAGTGTTTAGGGTAAAAATTTCATTCTCTGATTCTTAACCTAAGTTATAATAGGCTTTCTCTCGTACCACAATAGCTGACTGTTAAAATTTTATCCCTTGATTTGGTCATAGTCATTTGGAAGATGACTTACACTGAATCGTGGTGGTTGGTGAATGTTTGCCCTCTCAGATGTATAAAGAATTTTCTTTGATCTTGTGACACTGAAACAAGCTGGAAAAGTTTTCACTATTTAAGTACCAGTTGCCTTTCAGCAGTTTTCCCCCTTTTAGAAGTGGAAGGTTCTAATTCGTGCACAAACTGTGTTAAGTACCCTTCCACTTGGTGATTCGTTGTGGCCTATAATTTGTGAGTTTTGCTTATGAGTTAGTTAATAAATGTCCAAGAATGGGCACTCTAGAGTTGTTGCTTAGGGGAAAGATTTTGAGAAAACTGTTCCTTAAAGGAGCCTACAAATTAAAATTGGTAGCCTGGGGAAGAAATGTTAATTAATAGTGCTGCATTGAGAGCTATGGGACAGACATAATGTGAGTTAGTCATTACTAGACTGCTCAGTTTGACTGCTGGCAGTCACAGGAAACCGTTGATCTCATTGATGCTCTATGCTGCTCTGGGTTGTTTTTTTCTGTCAGCAGTTTTAGAACTTAGAAATTTGTTGGCATTCTTACTAGGAAATAAAATATTTGTACATTTGTCTTCATAAATATCTAGCTGTGATGATGTACATTTTCAGAGCTGTAAAGTTTTTTGCCTGTGTTTTGTTTTTTATTCCTTTGTAGTAAATAACCCTGATTTCAAGGCTGGTGTAATGGCTTTGGCTAATCTTCTTCAGATTCAGCGCCATGATGATTACCTGGTAATGCTAAAGGTCAGTTTCTTTTATTTTTGACAGAGCTGTGCATATAGGAGAGTTCATTTTTCTAAAAAACTAATGTCAGTCTGGGCAGACTAGAGAAACAAATCCATGGGCACACATATGCGTATAAGAAAGAGCTGTATATACAAGAGCAATTGAACACTGAGAAAACATCCCAGCCCAGCCCAGATCAAGTCCTTAAGTCCGATATTAGCCCATATGTCTGACAGCAATATATAAAGTCCTCGTTAGACTCACAACACACATGCAATGATGTAGAATGTAGAAGATCACAGGCCAGTGGGTAGAAAGTCTTTGGATCCAGTGTCATTGGAACATCTCAGCGCTGACGGGTCTCTACATGGCTTCTCCAGCACCCAGGGCTGCATCAGGGTGGGTCCACATGTCTTGTCAGCTGCTATGTCTCCCAGGGTATGAGCAGAGTCTCTCACCTCCAAGGAGGAAATACCGGAATTCCCAGAATCCTTAGGGGAAGGCTATGCCCACACAGAAGCATCATTGGCTATGACCTGATAGACGGGCTAGACTCCACCCCTACACACTTAATCCTTAAATTGACAATTATATAACTACCACAACTGCTAACTTACATTAATGCTTACATGACTAACATAAAATAGAGAAATGTAAGGTATAAAATAAATTTGTTTCCTCTGCTTTTCAATGATAATTATTATCAAGGAGTAAAACACTGTGCATGCCACTGTGTTAAATCCTTTATAAGTATTATCTCATTTAATCTTCCCAATAATCATAGAGGTAGGCACTATTATCTGCATGTTAACCATAAAAATATATGATTAAATATAATAAACTCAATGCCTTCAAGCCAATTCTGACTCAGTACTGTATGTGTGGGTCAGCATTTTAGTCCAGGCACTCTGACCATTCTCAGGTAGTGGAAAATACCAAACTAGTAGTGATAAATTTGGCCTAATTATAAATGCCTTTGTAGCTCTTTGAATAAATGTTCCTATCTTCTGACTCGTCTATGTTAGTTAGGCCACTCAGTTAATCTCTACTTCAGGGACTAAATAAAAGAGGTCCCTTCTATTAGGTGAGTATGTGATTTTTTTTTTTTTTAACATTTTATTAGGGGCTCATACAACTGTTATCGCAATCCATACACACATCAATTGTGTAAAGCGCATTTGTACATCATTCTCAAAACATTTTCTCTCCACTTAACCCCCGACATTAGGTCCTCATTTTTCCCCTCCCTCCCCGCTCCCCCCTCCCTCATGAGCCCTTGATAGTTTATAAATTGGTATTTTGTCTGAGTATGTGATTTTGAGAGAGAAAAGTATGCTCATTGTAGGCCAGTGCTTGCATAGGTAGCACATGTACTACAATTGGAATGATACATTGTAGTCCAAAGATTTATTCTGAGTATTTGTGTGGGGATAGGAGCTGGAGTTAAGATCCCTACTTCAGACTATTTTAGAAATTACTGTTGCCTTTCTGAAAGATTTTGACCTGAGCTTGTGCATGTAAGGAGTCCTGATAGCACAGTAGGCACACGCTTGGCTGCTAACTGAAAGGTTGGTTCAAACGCACCAACAGCTAAGCAGGAATATGCAGCCATTTGCTCTGTGAAGATGTACAGTTTGGGAAACCCTCCGGGACAGCCTTACTCTAGTCCTATTGGGTTTCTGTGCTTTGGAAACCCCTAAATGGCTGGGGGTTTGGCTTTTTGATGCATATGTGGGATCTTCTGTAAGCTGCAGTATGTTGAATAACTAAATGAATACCTAGAAGAGATTAAGCCATGATTTAGTTTACTTAGAATTTTCTGTATTAAATGGTAGTTTTAATAAGAGGAGGACTGCTTCTAAATATTTCTTTATGCTTTATTTTGAATGAGGTTTTTCTTGACCTGGTTTGAATGCTCAGAGACAAAAAAGAATATTTTTAGTGAAACTTAGCTCTTTCAAAAGCTTGTTCTTAACTCAGACAAATTATGTAAATTGCCTTGGAGTAGTTCTACAGTAATCACATCTGCTTTAATCATAAGTTGTAGAAGAAACAGACAATGCAGAGTCTAGTTGGAATGCTTTTGTTACACTCCAAAAACCCAGTGGGAAAAGTTTAAATCAGCTACAATGAATAAGCTTTATAAAAATTCTCCTCCTTCGCTGATGTGTTTGTCCTTTGAGTTGTTTTAAGAGACATTCAATTGATTGTGATAATACAGAAAACAGCTGTAAGAATGAGAATATTAACCAGACTTTATCACTGGAAACAATGTGTTGATCTTTTCAAATATATAGCACTTAGTTTAGTTTACTATTAAAATACGATTTTTCCCCCTTTCCACGTGAATTGAGTTGTAATGATCATCCTAATTTATATTTCCCCAGAACATTTTGCTTTTGGGGTGTAGTTCGTTTCCTACATCTCCCATCACAAGGTAGTACAAGTAGGACACACTGGGTGGCTTAGAAGAACAGGGACTTATCTTCACAGACCTGGAGGCTAGAAGCTGGAAGCAGGGGGGTCTGCAGTGCTAGGGGCTTCTGAGATGAGGGAAAGAGCTCTTCCGTGCCTCTCTGGTCACTTCCAGTGATGGCCAGCAAACCTTGGGGATTCTTTACTTTCAGATACGTCACCCCAAACGTTGCCTGTATGTTCACATGGCCATCTCCCTGTGTCTCTCAGTTCATCTCCTCCTCTCCCCAGTCAGATTAGGTCTGAGTGAGGATAGGTGTTGGGCTGCTAACTGCGATGTCGGTAGTTGAAACCCACCAGACCCTGAGGGAGAAAGATGAGGCTGTCTGTTCTAAAGATTTACAATATGGGAAACTGATTACACTGAGAGATTCCAAATACACTGAGTGTTAGTGGGTTTGGTTTTATTCCAGTGTGGCCTCATGTTATAACTGCCGAGGTAGTTTTTCCAAATGTCACATTTTAACAGGTACCAGGGTTACAACTTGACCATATCTTGTTGAGGACAGCAATCAGCCCATAATTTGGGGTGTGCATATATATCTGCCTGAGTGAAATGCCATGTGATTTTATTTTAAGTGCTCTCTGAAAGGTCTGAAGATACTACTAGCTAGTTATTGAAAAAAAAGACAAAGTATGATTTACTAACCTTTGTGGTTAAATGTGTGAATGCTTATACATGTGGGTCTTTTAAGGATATATGAGAATCCTAACAGTGATTCTTATGCCATTGGCTGGCTGAGGCTCTGTAGTGGGAAGGAGGCTTGCTTTTGACATGTATCTTGAATGTCTATGAGTCTGCACTATGCACATGTATTGCCTACTCGGTGTGTTTTAACTATGACTACCTATGTTATTAAACTGTAAGTATGAATTTTAATGTAATTTAAAAAATTAATTAGTAGGAAGGTTCATGAAGGAGGTAATTCCTCAAACTATGGCATCCTTAATTTGAATCTGATGGGAAGCTGACAGAGTCCTTAAACAGTAAAAACAAAAACAAAAACAAAACACAGTAAAAACAGTTAATCTTTTGAATGTCATAGGCAATTCGAATTTTGGTTCAGGAGCGCCTGACGCAGGATGCAGTTGCTAAAGCTCATCAAACAAAAGAGGTATGTTTATTTTTATAAATTATAAATGATCATTGCCCCCCCCTTTTTTTTCTGGTATTGCTATGGGTTTAAACTTTGCAAGTCTCACCTTAGTCATTCTCTGTTAGAATCATCCAGAAAGGAGGATAGCTCACTTTGCTAGGAATGAATTTAGTTCTTGAGCAAATTGAAAGTCAGGAATTCTAGAATGTAGCCAGTTTTGCCGGGGCTCCTTTTGTTTGCTTGGTGTTTCTGCTGTGAAGACGCTGCAATGAGGACTTTGCATAGCTGCCAATTGGAACTTCCAGCTCCACCATTCTGCCCCTGACTGCATTCTAATCAGTGTCTTCTCTCTGACTCTTTAGCCAGGCCAACAGCCTTCAAAGGTCACTGATGTCAGAGCTGGACAGTTGCCTCTGAAGAGCACCCAGTCTTATGGTTTAATTCAGGGCACTAATAATTAAGGATCTGCTGATTTCACCCTCCATGTAGAACAGATGGTTAATTGGTCTAGTAAAATATAATCATTCGTTTGTTTAGCAAAATTATGCCTTTGGTGAAGGCAGTACAGATGTGAGTTCAGCCAAACTTCTCTGCTCCTATTTGTAAAATAAAACATTTTTACTCTTCAAGCCATTTCAAACAATATCAACCTATAATGTAGTTGAGTTCCCATAGTATATTGTCCTATTGGGTAGTTTTCAGAGGTAATTGTTTCTCGGTGATCTGTTGGCAGACAAATGGGAAAACGGAGACTCATACATACTAGAGTAATTTTACTCATTGTATTTCCATATATTTTGCTGTTTTATTTATATACCTTTGTGGTTACATGTCAGGCTCCTAACTGCATGGTCAGTTGTAAACCATCAGCCAGTCCAAGGGAGAAAGATGGGGCTTTCTATTCCTGTAAAAAGTTAGTCTCAGAAACCCACAGGGGCAGTTCTGCCTTGTCCTGCAGCATCATTGTGAATTAACATCGACTCAATGGCAGGGTTCTTAGATTCTGCTTTCCGAAGAAGCCCCATTAGAAACTTTTAGAAAACAAGGGCAGTGTGCACCTTTAAAGCAGTGGTTCTCAACGCCACGACCCTTAATACAGCCTCGTTTGTGGTGACCCCTGTGAAAGGGGCATTTGACACCCCCCCCAAGGGGTCATGACCCACAGGTTGAGAACTGCTGTTCTAAAACATCAACCTAAAACTGACGAGTGCCGTCAGTTTGGTTTAGTACCTTACTTAGCTCAAACTATGGCATCCTTGATTTGATTCTGAAGAGAGGCTGACAGTTTGAGTCCTTCAACAGTATTTAAAAGTCTCCTGTTCCATTTGCCCTGTGCCCTACTAACTAGCTAAAAACGGGACTAGAACTGCTCTGCCTGCCTTCCGCAGTGATAGAACATTTATTCGATTTGCTGCCAAGAGGAAAACCACTCACCCCAAAGCAGATTTAATCCAAAAAAGTCTTTATGGCTGTAAGTGTTAATATAGAGTAGTTTGCTATTTTTCAGTTTCAAGTAAAATTTAAGAGTGATTCTCTTGTCTTTTTTAAAGGGCTTGCCTGTTGCTTTAGACAAGCATAGTCTTGGTTTTGACACAGGAGGTAAGTGATTGTTTTTAATGAAATAAGTCGGATAACCTTGAATTTAAAAAACAACATTAACAGTGTTCTTTTGTTATAAAACAGATGCAGTTCTTAATGAAGCTGCTCAGATTCTCCGATTGCTGCATATAGAAGAACTCAGAGAGCTACAGACAAAAATCAATGAAGCCATCGTCGCTGTTCAGTCAATTATTGCGGATCCAAAGACCGACCACAGACTGGGCAAAGTTGGAAGATGAACACTTCAGCTTCTCACCCGCTTGGTACAGTTGGGGACCGTTGTAAACTTCTGGTATGTGTTTGGAAATCAAATGTCATTTTCGAGAGGGACAAATCACAGAAAATAGACTATGTGTTCTAGATATTTACCATCATAGCTTTTTTTCTTTAATAAAGTTTGGGCAAGTGGATTTGCTTATTGGGTTATTTTCATAATGTGCTGCCATAATTCACTTGCTTTTGTGGTTAAAGTACATGTCAGCCCCCAAATTTGTCATAGAGACATACAGAGTCTCAAAGTCACTTTAAAGCATTTTATTGGAGTGATCTAGAAAATTCGAGAACTGGTACATCTTTGGTATTTATAAATGTAGTAGAGGCACAGGATCAGAAAATACAAATTGAATCATTCTAGCACCTTTTAATATAAATAGAAATGCATTGATGCAGAGGTAAAAACAGACACTAAAACTCTTTGTTGGGAAATTATATAAATAGATGGGTTCTTTCCCCTCTAGCCACATGAAGACTTGTGATCTTTAAAATCTGTAACGTTATACTGATTGCATGCATGTGCTTAAAGCTATTGGTCAGAGAAAAGCCATAGCAGAAGTCACATTTAAAGGTTTAATGTACCCTAGTTGGTTCTTAATTGAATCATTTGGCCTTTAAATACATTATAAATGTTTATGAAACTTGCTTTAATAAGCAACAATTAAAATTCTCTTTTTTTACTTGCAAGAGCAATGTTTGCTTTTAAAAATACAGTAGTAAAAATTGAGGTATAAACTTTTCACAAAATAACACTTAGTATTTTTGCACTAAAAAAATATTCATCTCACAATTAATGGCCAATTCCTCTTAGGGTCAAGATTCTGATTGTAAACTTCAGGTCCTCCTTCAGAATGCACATTTACTTTCTTCCTGTAAGGGAAGAAAGGGGGTGAGGGAGTGCCAGTGAATGACTTGGAACCCAGAGTTGCAATACTACCTCTTCTTAAAATATTCTTTACCTGTTGGGCAGTAGGGGTAAACTGCAGTTATCCCATAGAGATGCGATCTCTGCTCTGGGAGATACTCGTCCGTAAACTGGCCGCTGTCTTTCTTTACTGATATAATACCATCCCTGTGACAAAGAGTGAGTTTGTAAGTCATTAAACATTTTAAGAGGTTTGATAGAAACGGTTTTAGTAGAGATCTCTGGAGTACATTTTTAAAGTTAAAGAGGGTTTGCCAATAATCAGTCTTTGACTCCCACTTAGGCCTCCTGAATCACAAATGTCAGTAATCTTGGGGCACAAGTTTGAGAGCCCTTGGTCTAAGCTGGTGATTCACCACCTTTGCTACGTAGTGGAATCACTTGAGCACTTTGAAGTTTTGATGCCTGGGCTTCACACCAAACCACTTGAGTCAAAATTACAATTAAGATTGCAGAAAAGGACTAGGGCTTAGATTGGTTTGTTTTTCCCCCAGTTCCTTTTTTGAGAACTCCTAGCTTAAAGTCTTCCAGGCTGCTCACTAATAGGACCACAATGTTATAAAAAGAATTTTAAAAAAAACCTATCCATAATACAAGGTACCATTTAAGGGTAATCTTGGACCCCTTGACGTTCACATTTCGTTTATTTAGGTTAATTTCTCACTGCTTTAAGCTTTGCCTCTTTAAACTACCTGTGAGCAATACCATTACATTTCTTTGTAAAGTTGAAACCGTGACTTCAGAGGCCTTCCTTAGAGTAATGACATAGTGGAACCTCCAGAAGAGTTTCAGCCTTGGCCAGCTGTGGTATTAGCCTCACCTCCTCCAGTCCGTGTGGTAGAAGTGATCTGCATAGCTAACAATGCTGAAAGGGTAGTTGAGGTTGTTTTGAATGACACGTCGACCAGTTCCATCAGGTAGGGTACACTCCAGCTTTTTGGTTCCTTTGAAAAGCAGTAAAGAGAAAGGGGCCTTTTAAGCCTTGGGAGGTGGGGGAAAGTTTTGCAGGTAGATTGTTTCTCAAGAAAACGAGAGGAAGCAGGGTGTTTGTCTCATTGCAGTCAGTCCCTAAACAGTTCAATCCAAAACTCACTGCCAATGAGTTCATTCTGACCCATCTTGACCCTAGAGGGTCTGTGGGTTTCAGACAATCTGCAGAAAACCTCATCATCTGCCTTCCCCAGAGTGGCTGGTAGTTTCAAACTGCTGGCCTTGTCGTTAGGTTAGCAGCCAAACAAGTAACCTTGTGCCGCAGAGCTCCTTCTGACAGTTCAATAGCTTTCTTGTTTTAATTTCGTTTGGAAGAAAGGGCAGAATTGGAGCAACGAACATGTTTCTTAATTTACATATCAAGTCTTAGCTCAAATTATGAAAATATAAAACCCACAGCTGTCAAGCCAATTTCTACTCAGTGACCCTGTTTGGCGGTGTAAGTGCTGCATCCGTTTCCAAGGCTGTCAGGACGCTATGTACTTCTCCCAGGAGTGCCTGGTGGGTTTGAACTACCAGCCTTTTCAGTTAGCAGCTGTGTGACTGACTAATCACTGCGCCACCAGGACTCAAGGGCAGTGGGATTGTTTGTTTGCTTTTTTATACTTTATAGGTAAGAAGGGGGCAATTAAAATGTTAAGTTGCATGGCCCACACACTAGGTCAGCGGTTCTCAATCTGCAGGTCGCAACCCCTTTGGGGGTCAAACGACATTTTCACAGGGGTCGCCTAATTTATAACAGTAGCAAAATTAGTTATGAAGTCCCGTGAATGTTTTGAAGCTATAATTTTCCATGTAGTTTTGGACAATGTAGGCAAAGCAGTTTTGAAATTTTCCTACTAACTAAACGATTCAAGAATTTGTGTGTTTCATATTTCTGTGGAAACAAATTTCAAATGCTTTTAAAACACTAATTTGTTCTAGACAACTGTTAATGTTCATTTGGAATTTTTTGACTCTGAATTCTTCCAGAAGACTCACATTCTTGAGACTCAGACTGCGTACATCCTTTCAGTTAAGCTAATAACAAAAAGCACACCAGAGAGAAAGCAAGAGTTTGGATGTAAGCAGCCATCCTGCCACATCCCAAGTGAGTTATGACAAGCAAAAAAGGGAAAGCAGCAGCTATGAACTCAACCACACAAAGCAGTACAAAACTGCTTGGACACAGGATCAGTTTTCAGGCTTACCCTATATACTCATGGATAAGCCGAGTTTCAGCACATTTTTAAGGCAGTTTTTGTGGTAAAATTAGGTGCGTCGGCTTATGCTTGAGTATATATGCTAAATGGCTGTTTCAACTCACCCCCTTAATTCTCATGAGGTTCATTATAAGAATCATTACAAAAAATTAACTGCTGTGATATTATAAGTGCAAGTCAAAAGCCCTAAATAGCAGGAGTTGTTTCATAATAACATCTGTCTCCTCACTAGTGTCTACTATAGTTAAGGGTAAGCTATTTGTGTCCCTTCAGTAGTATTACCTGCATCCGCCCAGCAAAGCAGTTTGGAGAAGGGGTCAAAGGTTAAACCATTGGGTAGCCCAATGTCTCTGTTCACCAAAATCCTTCTGTTTTCTCCACTTAAAGATGAAGTTTCAATTTTAGGAGCTTCTCGATTCCAGTCTGTCCAGTACAAGTTGCTGTGGATAAATTGAAGAGGAAAAAAGTCAACATGGTACAGTAGTTCTATATGCTGAGGCTCCACCACATCCTCAGGACACACACACCCGTGCCCCCGGAGTGAGGGCTGGCTTTTGTGATTGCTTTTAGTGAACAGAATGTGGCTGAGGTGAGGAATGTCATTATTAGTTTTCCAAATGACTGTACCTTCTCTCTTGGGTGCCCTCACTTGGTCGACTGCTCTGGGACAAATTGGCTGTCATGGGACCTACCCTGTAAGAAGCCTGTGTGCCAAAGAGCTGACCTCTCTAAATAAATATTTACAAACCAAGCAAAGCAATAAATTAATATAAGTGCAAGGCAAAAGCTCTAAATAGCAGGAGTTGTTTCATAATAACTTACTTACCTACCCGTAAACCTTTGAGGTAAAGTACCTCTGACACTACAGTCCCCACATACGTTGCTGAAAGAAGCCCTTTCCCCTGCTTGCTAAAGGTTGTCTCAGGTGTGCCTGATGCTCATTAAACGTAGGCCTAGTCATGCACAGCACTCTATGAATCGTGTCTATGTCATGTATAGGCTAATTTTTTACTCATTTCTTTCTAAGAGTAAAAAGTTCTGAGGAAAATAATTAAAACCTTGTTTTTGCCTGGAGCAGTGCCTAGTACCTAATAGATAAACAATAGTTACTAAGTTAATGAATTGGAACCTTTACTCTTGTTCTGACCCTCCCCACGCGGCATGAAAATTCATGTTTGGTGAAGTTGCAGGAACAGACAGGTAACAGGAGATTAGAGCAGCTCACTGACCCTCTGATGGGATCCACAGCGATGGCTCGGGGGTTCACCAGCTCGGTGTGGAAGAGGACCCTGCGCTGAGAGCCATCCAGTGTGGCACGCTCTATCTTGTCCAGGCCACTGTCCGTCCAGTACATAGTTCTGTGGAAGTGATCGACGGTGAGCCCTTCAGGGCTTATCAGACCTAGAAATAAAACAAAAACAGACCTGCAGCGTTTGTCTGGCATTAAGGGTAAAGGCAAAGCAGAGAGATCTACATCTAAATACCTCAAACAAAAAACAAACCTGAGAATGCTTAAGTCGCAAGAACAAGGTAAATAGAAACAGTTTCTTTGACTACTTTTTCTCCTGTCACTTCTAGTTTCTGCTAGACTAGCTGACCTACCAGCCCGATGGTAACTATGGCCACACATAGAATTCTGCCTTTTAGCTATTTTTCAAGAAGCTCAAAGGTCTTCCTCATTTCTTAGGTATAAACATGTTTACCAAGAAGCTGGACTAAGCCCCTTGGTAAACGAATGGAAAGGCTGGAGGTTCTAGTAACTCAAAAAGATTTTTTTAAATCAGTCATTGAAAACTCTGTAGAGCATAGTTTTACTCTGGCAAATGGGGTCACCTACAAGCAGTTGGATGAAAGTAGAGTGAGATTGGCATTGAGTATGTCAGGTCTAAGTGACCACCTCAGTGGAATCAAATGACATGCAGGTTTGTTGGGCGAAGCTGCTGACCTGTGTTAATGATGATCTCCGGCTCAGCTCCTAGTGCCAGACTCGCACGGCTGATTGTTCGTCCAGCAACGTCTGTCCAGTACACCATCCTCTCCTGGCAGTCGTAGTCAAGTCCTACGACTATGGAGCCCTTCATGAACCAAAAGGTAGAGTTAGGAATAGGCAGCACCTTGACTTTCCTCCAGGCTCACCTCAGCTGCCTTTCCCCTGCCCTGTGGTCTTGTGGACAGTCAGCAAGTAGGGTGCTGTGAGTGATGGAGGCAACCTTCCTGGGCTCAGAGTCAGGCCTGGCCAGCTGTGTGGCTGTGAGTGTTTCACCTCTCTAGGCTCTGATCTCTGCATTTGCAGAATGAAGATAACAACAGTGCTTACTTCCTGTGGTGTTTGTAACAATTATTCACCTAGAGGGCCAGTCACTCATTAGTACACAGTGAGACTTCACTAAGTATATTAAAGGAGAATGTTGGACTGCTGACTGCAAAGTTGGCAGTTCTAACCACCAGCTGCTCAAAGGGACATAGATGAAGCTCCTCCTCTGGAAAAGAATGGCAGCCTCAGAAACCTCACATCAGGTCGCCGAGAGTTGGGACTGACTCGATGGCAGGGGTTTCATTTGGTTTGGAGGAAGTGCTATTACTGTGGGCAATAAAGACAAAAGTGACTTCACAGGAATGAAGAAAATGCATTTCATGGAAACATAACCAGCTCCTGCAATGATTAAGAGACAAATTAGCTGCAGCAAAATATGCCCTTAGCAAAACATTGGGACCCCTTTCCAATGTTACCAGCACCACCTATAAGAGCCTTCCTGGAGTCCCCCAACATGTGCATACAAAATCCGCTCTCCACACCCCTGTGAGTTTAAGAACTCCTCCCCTGCCTGAGGTGCAAACATTCCTAAGCCCCTTGCCATGCCCCCCCCACCCAATCTCCACCTCCTGCCTCATATAGAGCAATGCTTAGCTTATACTCTTGCATAAAAAGAAAGTTTGTAATTTGATGGGTTAAGGGCAAACATCTCCCTACCTCTGTCTCCCCTCAGTACTGCAGGGAAGCTCTCACAAAAAAACCGTTTTTGAGAAAATGCTGAATCTGAGCTTTGCACAACCACTTCATTCTTCACTTAGCCCAGCCATCTGGCTGTCCCCAGGGCCATGCCAGTTCCCTCTTTGCCTGACAAAGCCCCTAGGGCCTGGCTCAACTTACACCTCTGGGAGAGCAGTCAGCACCAGAAAGTACAAAGCAGGATTTGACTCCTGTAGAAAAATAGGCAGGGCCCCAAAGGTCAACTGTAATTCTATGTGAAAATGAAAATAAAAACATTTGTCCCAGGCAAAAGCCCATTCACATAAATCTCCACAAACCCAGGGAATCATAGGATTCCTCAAACTTTCTTGGAGGCAAAAGGTCCCAGTTTAAGCAGATTTCTTCTTCAAGCTGTGCTTCTAACCTCTGCCCTGTTTGTCAGTTCCACATCGGCCCCACCCCAGGCACTTTCAGATATGAAGTGAGGCCATCTGACTGGGCCACAATAGTTAGGCGGTTCGCCTGGGGTGACACCAATTTCTTGATTATGAACCCTTCTTGAGAAACATTTAAAACTTTTTCTAAATCCTGGCTGCTTATAAACTTTTTGGGGAACCACATGAGTTAGCTCATGAACGGAAGTAAGTACAAACACATGCAATGCGCTATTCTTACCCCTAGATCAGCGAGGGCCCAGGGCATGAAGTGGAGAAATGCAGTTGGATGCTGAGTTGTCAATGGTATGCCTTTGAGTCAACCCTGCCTCTTCCTCCCGCTCGCCATAAGGAAGCCCTTTCTCCAGAGTGTGCTGCCTTGGCAGCAGGGAGCATTCATTACCCTTGGACAGCAGCTCAGTTCTCTCCCAGCCTCAGCAAGGGAAGGGAATGCAATAGGGGAGCCTTCGACTGATTTCTGATTCATTGATTCTCAACTGGTGGCAGAAACTGGAGAGGTGGCTGTGATTTCTCCTGGTCCTGGGTGCCGTCTGACAGGACCCTGGGGACTGGTTAAGAGCGTCGATTCTTACCTGGCTCGCCCTCTGCCTCCACATCCCAACCTCCCTGGAATCCCCTGTCCACAGCTGAAACCCTGTGAAACAGCTGGAGGCAAGTGGCCTTGGGCAATCTGAGGTGACTCCTGACCACAGAAGGTCCCACTTTCTGCCAGGGCGGGGGCAAGGCCAAAAGATGGAGTCCTGGCCTGTTCATCCAGTCCCTTGTCCTGAGACATGGCCAGCACTGGCCGCCCAGAACCCACACCTTAACCCAACCCCATAGGAAGCATCCACTTTACATGTAGTGACAGCAGGGTCTTGGCTGCATCCTTCTGGAGCCTGGTGCCATTAAGAGGCAAGTGGCCAATCTGCTGGCCCTGGGCATAGAGCAGGAAGGTGCCCACGGAGGGAGGGGTCACGTCAGGGCGGGGGGCCGGCCGGACCGTGGGTGGAGCAACCGTAGGTATACCTGCCATACAGAATAGAAGGATGTGAGGACGGACCAGGGACAGAAACCGGAAGCTCAGCAGAGTCTCCGAACACAGGATGTTCTTCACCCCAACAAATGGCTCCAGATGTTCTTTACATTCTAATTGCTGGGGTGTTTTTTTTTTTTTACGATCAATTATGTAAATCACTGCCAATTACTAGGGAGGAAGACAACAAAGACTTCCCTCTGAACAAAGCAGAGGATTTTTACTTTTTTTTTTTTGAAACCACCCAAACCAGAGCTGGTATTGTGCCAGCTTCCCTGGGACCCAGGGTCACATGTGTCCCCTTACACCCAGGGCTGAGGGGAGTGATCACACGTAGAACAGGGTTCCAGATGGTCTAATGACAGGAAAAGCTAATGACAACACCAAACATATCTTAATGATTGTGGGGGACCGGCAGTCAAATGAGCACAACCCCTCACTTCCCCATTTTCCCTACAGAATGAAGCCCTCAGAGGTGGCTGAGGGGCGCTTACACGCAGGCGTGCTTCCTGGCTGGGAGCGGGTACCCTCCACCTCTCTGCCATCTTTATCCACACACCAGCAGAAGTCACTCTTCCCATGGCACTGCAAGGGGACGAACTGGCCCAGGTCGTCACACTGGGGCACATACTGGTCGTCGCGGGCGGTGCCACCGTAGTGCTGCAGCAGGCTTTCCCTCCAGCGCTCACAGACAGTCTGAGGTCTCTGGGTGGGCTCTGCGCATATGAAGAGGAAAAGCCTTTGATTGTGGGTTAAGGACGGCATTTGGCATCCCTGCCTGGCCAGCCTCCTTGGTATGTGCTGTTGGTGGGCCCTGTGGCCCCTGGATGCTGAGCCACCTCTGAGCCCCTCTGCCAGTTTAGGAGAAGGGGTTGGGTCTTGATGCTCCTGTCTCCTGAGCCTTGGCCTGGGAAGGCCAGTGACCCTTGGGGCCCGTTCTGACCAAGAACTCACCTAGACTCTCCTTGAAGACCCAGTGACCTGCCTGCATGACGCTCAAAGCCAATCATTACTTTTCCCCACAAGATTCAAGCTCCAGGACTCTCTTCTGGGAAGCTTATGCTGACACTGTCCAGTGTGTGTCTTAGAAAGCATTTTGTGAATTCCCTATATATGTCCACTGAGAAGTACAACTGTGGTGTCGTGTGTCAATGCATGTGTGCACGCACACAGCAGAAATGGTGTCAAATATCTTGAAACAGACTGAATGGTTCCATTAAAATACTAAGATTTCATATCATGCCTCTGTTCAAAACCGTCCAGTGGCTTCAGAGGACAAAGCTGGAAACATGATTTGGTCCACACGCTGACAATTTCTCTGGGAAATTAGGAAGATGGTGAACACAATCCTCAGAGACCAAACCCACTGAGGTCAACGGCAAAGGTCACTTTGTCAGGTAGAAACCACACTATCTCCTGACCCTTTTTAGTACCTCTGGACTATCTCACCCAAATGTGTCAGAGGAAAGAGGGAAACACCTGCCATCAGCCCGGAGGTGGGATTCCCTGGAGAACCAGTGCCGACCACCCAGTCCCACAGCCCATTCTCAGTTCAAGGGACCACCCACCCAGGCAGAGCTATTTGCCTGGAATGCAGGCCTAGAGCATAGTCAACTTCTGGGTGCTTCAAGTCACTTACACACGGGCTTCTCTCATTCCTTAATAGTTCAAGCTACTGAGTTAGCCCAATCCTGGACTGACTACGCTTGTGCGGAACTTTTAATCAATTCAACTTGGTTCCATTAGTGACTGATGACATGACGCCAGGACAAACCCAGAATTCAAAAATGTGGGTGACCCAGGACAGAACACTAAGCAGAATAGGAACCATTGTAAGCTGAAGCCCTACTCAGGAACCCTGGCAGTAGGGGTTACGTGTGGGCGGCTAACCACAAGGTCAGCAGTTTGAAACCACCAGCTGCTCCAAGGGAGAAAGACGGGGCTTTCTACTCCCGTAAAGAGTTACTGTCTCAGAAACTCACAGGGGACGTTCTACCCTGTCTGGGGTCGCTGGGAGTGGGCATCAACTCAATGGCAATGAGTACAGGCTTTGGTTTTGAAGGCCTACTAGCAACAACCATCTTTTTAGCAAATAGGGCAGTGTGCACCTTCCATAGCAACCAAATCTCATGAATGACAGAGTTGAAAGTGATGCTTCCTGGCGCCTGGCTCAACGATGGATGTGCGTTGCTCCACCGTCCCAGCGATCATCTGATGTCACCCATCAGGTTTCTGAAAGGGCTCTAATCTGCAATCGTGTAGCGCTCACCACACTGCCTCTGCGTCACCCATTCCAGGGCCTTCATAATTTCTCCCATTCTAGTCTATTTCAGACCATACAAATATTAAAATTCTGGGCTGCTCTGGTTTTGCTTCCTCAGCCATGAGTGAACTGGCTCAGACTGGTTTGCAGTCTTCCTCGCTCTTCTGTTTCTGGTTAGCTGGGATTTGCATAGTTCGGAACCTTTGGCACAGTGCTCTCACTCCCTTCAAGCTGACCCGATTATGGGGATGAAGAGAGTCAGAAATGGCAGCCAAGGCCAACGCAGCGCCCAGAGAGAAGTCTGGGTCCATGGGAAAGATTGTGCACAGAAAAATGTGTCCCCGTTGTAGTTGCAAATTTAAGTCTCTTGGCTCTGTTCTGAGTCATTGTTTTTCACACATGCTTGTCTTAAATTACTCAATAGAATTCTTAAGGCATATTCCAACCATCTGATTTCTCCAAATCCCAGATGGAATTAGAATTAAAACTTTTAAAGGAGGGAAGGATGAAAAACCAGGATTTCTCTGTATGATTTTCCCCTCTACCGTAGTACAGAGACAAAGCAGAGCCAAGGGTACTACTATGGAAACATGTCTCTCTCAAGAAAGCATTGCCAGTTTTTACTTCTATAAGCCTTAGAATCACGGAAGCCCTGGCCATAGCAATTCTTACTATTAAAAGGATCCATTTTTCTGGTCGTTCTCCAGTGCTTCCGACTTTACTGTGTTGAAAGCAAAGACCAATGTTTTATAGGTCCTTTTTCAATAATGAAAATGGACATCAATTATTTTGGCAAAAATGGTATCAAACCTAAAGTTTTCTGAATTATAAGTGTTCTTATCAGAATAATTCAAATTCAGGGCAAGGAAAAGCAGAAGCCTGCTGCTGGCTTACGCTGTGAGCACTTCCTAATCTGTCCTCCCCACAGGTCGGGTACTCAGCTGGTAATAGGCAGCATCACCAGCATCTCAGAGTCTGGACAAAATGGTGTCCAGAGATTCACAGGCATTCAGCTAACTTACATGGGGCATGGAATACAAAGGAACTGGGGGGTAGGGGTGGGGGAGTATGACTGGCAGTAGAGCAATTCATCTCAGCCCCAGGCAGAATTCCAGTCACAGGAAGGGACCCTGATTAAGATAGGTGCGTGATTGCAGATTAGAAAAGCTCTCCAAATTGAGTCAGGGCCTGCCCTGCTGTGACCCAGTACAGCAGATCCCTGTACGTCTTTTGATTGTAACCGGGATAAGAGTTGACATGCTGGGTTTGACTAGAGAGGGCTGTTAGAGCAAACTGGTTGGATCCATCAACAAGTGGATTTGATTTCATCATTAATTTCCCTATTGACATCAGCAAGGCTGTTTCTTGCCATACAGAAGGTACAGTGAGGCAGTTACGAAGGAAGGCAGTTTCCCTTTTGGACAAAAGGCTAGCCTGACAAGGTCTGCTGGCTCTCTCTGCAATACCCTCACAGACCTGGGCCATGCCCGCCCTCCATCGAAACGTCCAGTCTTGTATTGGGTAAGAATTTAAGAAGATGGGATCTGCTGTAACAGAGATTGAGTGTGTCTCTACGACATGATTGCGTGTATGTGTGTACATACATACCCGTATATACATTAGCATCTATGTGTGTACATTATATGTGTGTGTGTGTGTGTATACACACAGACACACCTGTGCTTACATATGCTTCCAAGGAGGAGCCACTACCCAGGTATAAATTTGTCATCCTGTAATGGCTTGCATATTGCTATGATGCTGGAAGCCGTGCCCCTCGTGTCAAAGATCAAGAGTCATCATTCATAGGTTACATGGAGCTTCCAATCTAAGACAGACCCAGAAGAAAACTTGCTAATATATTTAAGGAAATTTGCCAGTGAAAACTCAATGGCTCATCGCCAAACACGGCCGCTAAAGAGCTGGAAGATGAACGCCATTGGTTGGAAGGCAGCCAAGCTACAGTGGCCACCACAATGGCCCAAGCAGTGCTGGGGAAGCTGACACAGGACCGGGCACCTTTCTGTTCTATGTGGGGGCACCACGAGTCAGAGCCAATTCAGTGGCCGCTCGCAGCCCCAGGCTAGAGGAGAAGTCTGGGAAAGATGCCGAGTGACCTTGAGTCAGCATGTCTGAACAGGGGTTATGCCCTCTTCCTGCCCCCACCCCCCCACCCCCCAGTGTCCTGCTTCTTGAACCCCAGGGCCTGAGCTGGAATCCAACTCCTGGTTTCTCACCTGGGGCTCCACAGTGAGGTGGAGTGGAACCAGGGGCGGTCCGGGTACCAGGGACTTCATGGCCGCGTGGGTCCACACACCAGCAGAAGCCTGTGCTGCCATGACACTGCAGCGGCAGGAAATTGCCCTGATCATCACACTGGGGGATGTGGTGTGGGGATCCAGGATAGGCAGGCTGTGCCTGGGCATAGCGCTGCTGGTGGTGACAGGGTTTCAGTCCTGCGATGGGCTCTTCAGGGACCGGGGTAGAGAGAGGGAGAGACAAAAGGCATCAGAACCTATTCACGTTCACAAGGCAACCTCCAAGTCCCCTGTCCTAAGACGAGACATGGAAGACAGTGTGCCACTGGGATCTGGGAGTCCTAGATTTTCATTTTCTCTCTGTCGCTATCTAGTTTATTCCCAACTTTCACCATTCACCCTCCAAGTCCCTCACTACGTACATGTAGGACAGCAGTCTCTCTCTCATCTCAACCCTTAGGCTCTCGTTGCCGCCTGGGTCAGACAACGAACTACCCCTGGTTTCCGTCCAAAGGTCCTGAGAGACATTGGAGAAAACAAGTCAACCCCCCACGCATTCCTGGAGGTGCAGAGCTTAAATCTGAGCAGCTCTGTGTCGCCAGTGCTCAGCAGACTATACGGTGCTTCCTCCTGGCTCATGCATGTACACAGCTCTTGTTTAGTAAGCTTTACCTCAATCACCTAACCGGAACCCTTCCTGGCAAAGGAGAGAAGATGATAGATCGGTCATCTTATCTTCTCCAGGCGTCTAAGAATACTAATCACTACCGAACTTCAGCAAACTGATATCAATACATCCTGGAGCCTTGGGTGGTACAGTTAAGCACTTGCCTGCTAACCTAAAGGCTTTTGGTTCAAGTCCACTCAGAGGCACCTTGGAAGAAAGGCTTGGTGATCTGTTTTTGAAAGATCACAGCCTTAAAAGCCCCCTGGAGGATGGCCATCCTGCAACTCGGGGGCTCCCCATCAGTCAGAATTGATTCCGTGGGAACAGTTTGGTTTCATCATTAAGTTAGGCAGCAGTTGGCAACTGGAAAATTCTAGAGCTTAGAAAAATCTACCGAGGCCGCCTACCTGTTCAAACTAAGAGTGGACTGAAGTGTTGCGGAAAACAGATCACCAGTTTTCTGTGCCTAACTTGGCCTCCCAAACCTTACCAGGCGTACACTGAATTCCATCCCCACGGTATCCAGGCTGGCAATGGCAGGAAAAGGAACCGGGGGTGTTGTAGCAGGTAGCTGACGGGTGACATCTGTTTTCCAAGCATTCATTAACATCTGCGAGGTCAGGCACAGGGGTTAGAGGGGGAGGGAGGGAGGGAGAAGGAAAAACAGGATGATTTCATCACACACCATCTGTGTTACTAAACTCATTGAAACCATCTCATAGAGACCCTAGAAACAGATTAGAACTACCCATTGGTGTTTTCTAAAGCTGTAACCATCCTGTAAATAGGATGCCGCTTTCCTCTCCCCCTCCCCCCCCCCCCCCCCCCCCCCCCCCCAGAGTGGCTGGTGGGTTCAAACTGCTGGCCTATTGGCTAACAGCCTCATGCTCAATCAACCATCATGCTACCAGGGTCCCTTCTCTGTTCTACTATATGGTCTTTGCACATGGATCAGCAGTAAGTTGTCAGCTTCAGAGGTCTTGCCTGAAATGGGCTCAGAGGACTTTTGGGCAGGAGTAGACAAATGCTGTGATGGAAATGCAGGCCTTATAGAAAGAAGTCGAGGACTTTGTGGACTGAGGATGAATGCTCAGAGGAAATTTGCACGTTGGTCACTCACTATAAAAAAAAAAATCTTGCCATATATTTCTAGAGCATCTTATTAACTACAAGGAATTCCAGGCAAAATTAAGTAGCAGGAGGTAACTGGAACATTCTTTTAACTACAGTGAATTACCTCTGAACTTTTACACTTTAAACCAGGTCCTTTTCTATCAGTAACCCTACAATACAGATTATATATATACACACACACACACATATATATATACACACATATATCACACGACCTTTTCCTTTCACTGTCGGCACTGTCTCCCTACAACACGCCGTTACAGATGCAAAGCCCAGATGTTAGTGCATAGTTTTCCCCAACTAAATTAGCACTGCATTCATCAGTGACCTCTTTCCTAGAGCCTTAATTAACCAGATGTTCTTTAGTTACCATTTTTAGTAGAACAAGTACAAGTATCAGGGATGTTGGAACAACACATAGCAAAGAAAATGGAAACATTTCGGGCATTAAGACCACAAACATGTCTCCCCACCACATGTGGTACCAGGAGGGTCCATTTTCACCCTGACATTTCTCAGAATTAAAAGCCAGCAATGCCGACCAGAACTGAGGTGACATTCCATTGGTTTTATTACTGAAATCAGCAAGTGCTAGCAATAGCAAAGCAGTGAGTTAAGCTATTAAGCCAGTGCCCAATGGAGATGAGCTTAGCTTAAGAGACAGGAAGTTATCCCGAGTTTAAAAAAAAAAAAGCTTAAAAAAAAGGGGTGAATGTATAATAAAGCCGCCACTAAAAATCAAACAAAGCAGTAGTCCTATCCATGATAACAAAAAAAATTTTTAATTTAAATGTGGGAATTGAAAAAAAAAAAAAAAAGTAGAACCTTCAGGAAGAATTCCAGAAAGAGAACCTGAAGACAGACGTTGTGTCAGTTCAGGAGGGCTCGTGGCCAGCTGTTGGCAAACTTCATGGCACCATGAAATGTGAAAGTCTCAACCATGGTTCCCCCTCTGATCAGGAATTCTCTACAATAGACTCTTTAATCTCAATGTTTAGTAATGATAGCTGAGCACCATCTGGTTTTCCTGCTCTCAGAACAAGGGAGGCAGTTGTTTCTGGAAGCAATTAGCAACACAGTCCATATCCTCATTTCTGACTCTCCTCCTTTCTCTGCTATTCCAGGTGAATACCTGTCAATTGTGCACTTGCGATGGCCACCTGTAAGCTTTTAAACCACAGGCAGGATTCAACAAGTTAGGAGGTCAAATAGAAGCCCTAATGATGTTAATGAGCCAATTAACTGGTATGTCTCATAATGCCAGGGTCTTAAATCACCAAAACAAGAAACTCGATCCCATAAGGTTTTGGGTCGTAGCCTCAGCAGCTAGTTTTCCTTCTTGTCACTATAAATATATCTATCACAGGACTTGTGTCCATTAAACTCTTTACAGGTGTACAACTCCTGGGCAGAAGGTATACAGATCTGCTGTGCATCTCTGCGCTTACTGTGTTACCTGTCACCATTGACTTTTCTTTCCCCTCCCTCCTGCCCCTGATAAACTTTCTTCACAATATACATGCCTTTTCTTATCGTTTTTTACGTGAACTCACACCACATGTATCCTTTGGTGACTGACTTCTTTCCCTGAGCAGAAGGCCTTCCGGCCCCATCCATGTGATAGCGTCTACCAAGACGTCCTTCCCCGCTAGCTGCGCTGTAGGCTGAGGTGTGTAGTCGGTCTCATTTGACCTACTCATCTGTTGATGGACTTCAACATTGTCTCTAACTTTTGACTGTTATGACTCGAGTCTCTGCTTTGAAGTCTTTGGGGCACAAAGCTTGCAGTGAAATTGCTGGGCCCTGGGTTAGGCCTATTTTTGGTTTCCACCACATCGTTTTCCACAGTGGCTGAACCAATTTGCATTCCAACTGGCAATGAATAAGAGTTCTGATTTTCCCACCTTCTTGTCAACAACTATTTATTTTCTAATCTTAGTCATCCTGGTGGGAGTGAAGCGTCATCTCATCGCCCGCTTTGGGGGAACAGCCATAGGATTTGCAATGACTGGTTTTGGGGGAGCAGATTGCCAGGCCTTCTAAGACGCCTGTGTTGAGTTCAAACCACAAACCTTACTGCTAGGAGTTGAATGTTTAACCACCTGCACTACATAGGGGCTTGATGAAGTCCTGACACCCAAGTCCCGAGTTCAATGTCAATCCTGCCGGAGTCAGGATGGCCCTTCCCTGGCTTCCCTGGACCCGATGAAATCTCTCCTAGGATAACGCCCCACCCACCTTGCTCTGAGGACATGCGCACTGAGTCATCTCACGACTGACGTGCAAGGATTTCCATTCAACAGAGACACTATGTCCATTAGAGCGGAACATCCTAGATTGTAACTAACAAATTAGCGCAGCATAAATCCACCCCGAAATCTAAATACTAACCAAGGCTAAGACCACCCGGAGAGGCTCGGCCTAGGTAAGTAATTGGCTTCCCTAGTTACCTCCAGATGGACTGACAAAGGTGAAAAGTAGACGGCTGCGCTTATCTACCGGGTTAGAAACACAGGCTCTCTCATTCATTCCTCAGTTAACCAAATATTAGCCAATGAAACAAACATCTCCAAGACAATCAGTGTGAGTTTTAGATGGCCATATTTGGTTATCCTTGAGGCCGATTTTCTGTCTCTTCAAGGGACAACTCAAATGCCCAATGCCCAGTATGGAGATGTGACTGACCACCCAGGTCCTCTGGCCTGGAGGAGGGTATAAAACTGGCTGTAAAACCAAAGTTGTAAATATCAACATCCCTTCAAATGCAGGAAACGAAAGCTTCCTGCTAGTCACAATACATGCTGACAGTACTTCTAAAGGTAACAGGAACCCCAAGCAATGGCAGGAAGCAGGAATTCCTGAGACACTATTTCTGGACACTAGGAAGCAGTTTCTACCGATTATTTTTCTAGCTAAGACATGAGGGGATTCCCCAGAGCTGTCGCATAATTTATGTTCTTAAAGCGTATGGCCCAGGAATTCTGGCCAAACTCCCTCCTCCCCGCAGATGCTGTTGTCCCTGGCAGGGAAGTGAGAGGTAGCCAGGAACTGTGAAGACTTAGCAGGGAGGGGAAAGTCCCTGAAGAGCCTGATGGCAGCACAGGGAGAAATCTCTGCCAACCTCAAAGGCCAACGAATCAAAGGCCCTGACGTCCATTTTGGAGGGCCACAACCATGAGAGCCAACTAGACTCCAGCCAGCCACCCGAGGGCCTGTGCTCACAGTGGGCTGTGCTTTCTCTCCAAGAGTGCTGACACCGAGGGGCTTTGAGGAACGCAGCATTTGCAAAAACCAAGAGACCTCTTCCCTATTTTGCAGGGTGTCAAGCACCCGAAGAGGAAAAAGGATGGAGGCTTCCAATCCCTTGGCAAGGTGGTGGTGGTGGTGGTTGCGGGGGGCCTTTCCTCCTTGCACCATTGCGGGGTCGGGGCCATGACTTATTCTGAGGAATCCCTGTCAGTAGTCTTTAGAGACTGTTAGAACACTGGGGCCTACCCACAGCACAGTAGAGCCCCTTTGCCATCTAGGTCATGAAAGCCAGCTCATTCCCAACAGAATTCTCCACATTCACTGGTGAAGCTAGGAAAGAACATGCTGGAAAGGTCGTACTTGAAGCACCAACCCCCTCCTGAGCAACCAAGCTCCGGGGAAGCAGCCACCTGTAACTCAGCTTCCTCAATGCACCGACTGGCTCCTCCCTGGGAAAGCCCCAACGCCAGACAATCTGCTTGTGCACCTGGCGAAGTCACCACGTTTCACAAAGACAAAGGAACCCTTATGAACCTGAGAATTATTAACATACTGACGCTTAGATCCCTCCAGATCGAGGGAGCTGGAGAGGATTTCATCCTAGTTGGATAGGCACCTCTTGCTAGTGACTCAGGAGAGACTGAGAACCCAGAGCATCCTCTCCGAGGAGCTTGAAGGAAATCCACAGAGCCTCGGATGCTAGTTTCATGGACTAAAAATAGGATGAAGAATACATACTTCCCCAGAGTAGAATCTTCATCAAATATTCTTTAGCCCCTGTGACATACCCACACTGTGAAAATTTTTATGTCCTTACTCTGCCAGTCACATGATTAGTCCAATCAGCTACATGCATGGGTCTTTAGGAACAACTATTCATTCTCCCCTGCACAGTCTGACACCCTGGAAAGCAACCATGCTGTAACCGAGTATGGCAGGCAGCCTCTAAAATGGCCCCTAGTAACCCCCGTAGCTCCTGGTGTTCACCAGGTTACCTTAACTAGATAAACACATCTTCACGGGAGCAGAAAGCCTCCTCTCTCCCCCACAGAATAGCTGGTGGGTTTGAGGGGCTGACCTTGTGGTTACCAGGCCAATGTGTAACCCACTAAGCCACCAGGGCGCCGCTCCTGGTATTTGTGGTCAATTTAATTTCCTTCCTTTGAGTTACTTGCTTCTAGCCAATATAAAGCAACGTGGAAGGGTTGTCTGATCAGTGGTTACCTTTCCAGCACTGTCTTACTGATGTTGATAGAGTAGCCTGCCATGTTGGAGCTGTGCTTGTTAGGCGCCATGGAGTCTGCTCTGACCCATAGCCATCCTATGCACAACAGAAGGAAGCCCGTCATGCGCCATCCCCACAAGTATTCCCATGCGTGAGCCCATTCTAAGTTGGAGAGGCCTATGTGAAAAAGAACGGAGTGTGGCTTCCAGCCAAGAGCCATCAGCCATGTAAATAAACATGGAAGCAGAACCATCCCAAGCTGATCATACCCCAGGCCTAGCTGACCCGCGGGATGGGCTCCTTCCTCCATGGGTAGAAGGAGAAGCCCCAATGAAGTTGTGCCCACATTCCTGACTCACCGGACCTGTGCAAGAAATGTGTTTGTTGTTTTAAATCCCCAGTTAGAAGGTAATTGGTTAGGCAATCGAAAACCAACACAGATTTTGGTGTGTGGAAACGAGATGCTGTCCTAACAAATAACTGCAGTTGTAGAAATGGCATCGGAACGGACAAGAGGCTGACGCTAAAATGAGTTTTGGAGTAGGATAGAAAAAATTGCCTTTTGCAGACAGGGAGCAGCGCTCGGGACTTGGACACTGTCTGCAGTGAGGGCTCAAAAAGAAGTGAGAGGCATGCTTTTGGCAGCTGACGGAGAGAGGTCCTCGCTAGATACGCTCAGTAGCTACTCAGAGACGTTTCCCGGCAGAGTGCTGCTGCGGCCGCCCACTCGCCTCTTGCCGCTGACAGCAGAGCATGAGGAGAGATGCGGGGAAGGGCTGTTAAACGAAAGGGGAACTGACTCGATTTTGAACATTTTGAGCTCCTGCAGATCGACATGATGCTAACATTCAGAAAGGGCATCCCGGCTCGGTTAGAATACTACAGCTTACCAGTAAAACAAACAAGTCTGTCTTTGAGAAAAAAAATACAGGCAGAATGTTTCTTAGATGAGAAAGTGGTGAGACGTCAGCTCATCTATTCAGACACACGATCAGGAGACACTAGTCCCTAGACAAGGACACCGTGCTGGGCAAAGTGCAGGTCATGAGAGGAAGACCCCAAGCAGATGGCCGGACAGTCAGTACAGCAACCAGCTCACGCATGACAAGTGCGAGGACGGCCCAGGCCCAGGCAGGGTTTCCTTCTGAGATGGACCCGCCTCTACCGCAGGCAACACCAACCAGTACAATTTGGTTTACAGATTAAAAAAAGTGCACGAGAGAGAGAGAAAGCCAGAGGTGAAATCTAGCATCCAAGCATCAGCGTATTGAGTCACACCCAGAGTCTTTTAAGGAGATTAAGATTCTACCCCTTAGATCCTCTAGCGAGTGCTGGGAACATTTTCAGACAAGTTCATAATCTAATTGGGCCAAATACCAGGACAAGCGGGAATTCCAGCTGAGAGTGAACATCCTTCCGTACCTCAGCAACAACAGCATCAGTTTAAGGAAAAACAAAAGGCTCAAGTAAAAAGAAAATGTTTTGAAAATGATGGCAACATGTGTGCAAAGGTACTTGACACAATAGATGTATGTAGGAGCTATATGAGCCCCCAATAGAATGATTTCAAAAGGAAAAACAAAATTAAAATAGACCTGAGCCAGAGCAAAACAAAAAGCACACAGCAGTTCTGTACAGCAAAAACGGGAACATGGGGCCAGGATAGGTGCATCTATAGAGACAGCAAGTGGATGATAACTGCCTCGGAACCTGGCAAGGAGAGGTGGGAGGCTAACAACAAGCATGAGAAGAACATGTTCTGAAATTGACTGTTCAAGTCTTCTTAATATGGTTGAACAATTAAATTGGAGGCTATGTGAAGTATACACCAATAAAACCATTTTAAAATGTTGGAACATTAGTCAGTTGAAGGCCATACCAAGTAGTCTGACATTTCTGAAAAGGGCTGGATTGCTATGCTGCTTGTGGTAGTTACATAATTTCATGTCAACTTGTTGATGTATAAAAGCATAGAGGTGGTATCCAACCTGTCAATCAGGTCATAGCCTGATGGTGCCTCTTTGTCTATTCATAAGGAGGGGGAAACCTCCCCTTCTCGGCTTGTCCCTTCCTCCTTGTTGACCGTGGGAGTTGCCAGAGCCCTGCCTGAGACATTGGATCCACACGACTCTGCACCCACCAGCCTGCAGCCCTCCTGCCCTCTGCATCATTGCATGTGGCTGCGTGAGTCTGAAGAGGGACTCATGGACTAGTCTAGGACCGGAGTTGGACTGAGCTTGGACACTTTCTTGATATATAATTACTTCTTGATATAAAACTCTTTCTTACACACATGTGAGTCCCTGGATTTGTTTCTCTATTTGACCCCACCTAACACTGCCCTTGCCCCTTTGCTCCATCAATAATGTGCTGTGTCAGCTTGCTTGACCAGTCAGCCTGTATGGCTGAAGCCAAAGGGAAGGAGCAGAGGGGTGAGGGAAGGAATCCCATGTCTGCTGGGGAGGGAGAGGATCCTGTGCTGTGGAGGTCCCCTATGCAGCCTCCAGGAGTTAGACTGTTCTTAGCAAATCAGCCTAGTTGGTCGGGTGCAAGCCGATCAAGGAGAGGGTACAGCCTGTCTATTAGATTTACATTCCCCACACAGACCCGTTGCCAGCTTTCTCTCATCCCCAATGTCTCATTTGACCATACATTTAGGTGCCTCTGACAAACAGCATGCGACTGAATTGTGTACTATATCATTCCCAGGTGGCACAGTGGGTTATGCATTGGGCTGCTAGCCCCCTGGTGGGAAGTCCAAATCCACCCGTCCCTCCATGGCAGAAAAGTGAGATTTTCTGCTCCAGTGAAGAACTGCAGGCCTGAAAACTGAAGGAAGCTTCCTTACTCTGCTCTGTACGGTCCCTGTGAGTCAGAATTGACTCAAAGGCAGTGGGAAGCGGTAGTTCTTCGAATTGGGCAACGCTTTACAGTAACAACACGACACATTCATTTGGTCTTGACACGGATGAATTGGAACAGTTATGCCCGCATTCTCATTCACTGCTTTTGAGAGAATATCGTACAGTCTTAAGGGCGGTTGGGTTTCTGGGAGAAAAGCTTCGAGTAATTGCTTTTACGTTAACCTCCTTTTCTCTCCGTGGAGTGCCGCCTTTTCCTCGTCCTAGAGAAGAGAGGACTGAAAGGAGGGTAAAATTGTGTATGTGTTCAGAGACTGCTCACGATACTGTTTCAACTGGGATAACAGCTCTAAGGAGCCGTCAGGTATGCCGAGAAGTGTGGGGTTAAGCCAGGCAGCAGACAGACTGTTAGATGAAGCCTTCATCTCTCCAGGATGAAAGAACACGCTGCTATTCCAAAATTCTTCCCGGGAAAAGAGGTTATCTCAGCGGGCATCGTCTAGCCAGCCCTTGAGCAGTGTCTCCCCCAAGGACAATGGGAATATGTTCAACCAGGCAGATCTAAGGAAAATCATCCATGCCCTCCCCCCCTTTGCTGAACCAAGATACCACCTTTTCTGTTTCTTTTCTGGCACTTCCAAAGCTGCTTGAGTCAAAGGGAGAAAGAGGTCCTGGCCACATGCGCCCAGCTGAAGCGGCCTTGCATGTACTCACCAGCACAGTGGTGCCCGGAGCCCGTGTACCCCGGCAGACAGGCACAGGTGAACGTGTCGCCTCCGTGGTGAATGCACCGGGCCTGCCCAGCGGGAGCACAGGTGTGCCTGCCATCCTCACACGGGTTGGGAGGTGGGCCCATCACTGCAAAGAGAAGGCAAGATTGCCACCAGTTCCGGCCTGCTAATGGGCGTGCCTGACTCCTCCCCATTGTGGCCCACAGACCCACTCCCATCTTGGGGGCCTTTAAGAAATAAATGCAAGTTCTCAGGACCTGCCCAGATCCAGGGACTCAGACCCTGATTTTTCACAAGATTTCTGGATGATTCTCATGAGCATTCAAGTTTGAGAAGCTCTGGTCTGTTTGTGGTTGGAAAAGTGGGTTTGCAAGATCAGCCATGAAAACAGTCCTTGGGCACATTTTATAGTAATTCCCCAGGACGACAACTGCTACGCCCATGCATTTCTACTATCATTACTACTTTTTCATCCTATTAAAGAGTGTATTTTCTCTACTAGTGCCTAGCTCCATCAATAGGATGAATTTTGGAATTCTAGTCCCTTTGGATATATCTTAGGTCCAAAGTATTTCTTGGATCATTAGAAAGGGCATAACCAGAGAGCCTCCTTGGCTGTTCAAGTGAAACAAGTGTCTTTGGATTGCACACACATCTACTTCATTCTCACTTTAAAAATAGAACTTGACCTCTATAAAGAGCTGGGTGTTTATTGGAGAGGTTCAAAGACGTGTGACATGATTGGGCCAAGTACCGGGGCTCACAGGAATCCTAAATAAGGGCAAGCATCCCTCAGAAACTCAATCCTGAAGATAGCCATTAAGGGGGCAGAAATCAGGGCTGGGCTACAGCGTTAAGCCAATTCTACATGAATGCTACGCCGCCCCCACCCCACCCCCTACCAAGGAAATCATAAAGCGGAGGTTCTGCACAGAAGCAGCAACATGACTGAATTAAAGGGGCAAGATCCAACCCTCTTTTGGCTGTGGTGCTTACAGATGCAGGTGTGCTGATCGTCAGCAATCTTATATCCGCTCCGGCATTCACACTTGTAGCTTCCCCTCAAGTTGATACACATGGAGTTGGGGCCACAGCGATGGAAGCCAGTTGCACATTCATTTACATCTACGAAGGATGAGAACAGACAGGCACTGCTTTCTTCCAAGGTCTCAGGAGTGGCGAGACCGGAAAGTCAGTGTTTCTCATCACTAGGAGGGACGACAGGGCAGTGGAGCAAACAGCAACCAGGCTGTAATATTTCTAAGCACCAGAGATAAGGGTGTGTTCCAAGCGCATCATAAATGATGCTATTTCAAGTCACTATCTGCACTGGGGGATAATTTTTGAACACACACCCTGAAAATTCTTTAAACATGTCAACATTGTTGAGCGTTAAGAAGAAAAAGGTGTAAAGGTTTTTCTCTCTTTAAATACAAATGGGCTTCAAAAGTTTGTGGGGAAAATGGAATTAAAAGATTCTGTGGACATTTGAAGACTGAAAATACACACACACACACATTTCCACTGCATTTTGGGATACTAAGGTGAATGATAACCATGTCAGAAATGTAAAGTTACCTTTACAAAAGACCTTTTACTAAATATAATACTTAATACAAGCACAAAATTATAAACATAAAATTCAAAAACATCTCAGAATTACAAAAGGCATGCTCTTTTCACAAGTCCTACCCCAAATACCTATGCCAAACTATTCTTTCAAATCTCAACCAGAAGGAAAAAAAAAACAACCAGAAGATGCTTTAGTTTTTCAGTAACACTTTCAGGTCAATAACTAAACTCACAGATCGATGGCAATAATAAGGAAGAATGGCTGTACATAGATGAGTGGACACATGTATAAACAGTGGGGAGAGGGCTGTCAACAAGCACATGAGAAAGGCAAGAGAAGACGGCTCTTACCCACACAGCTTCGGCCATCTCCCTGGTACCCAGGTGCACACTCACAGGTGTAGTCTACAGTTGTCCCTGGATGACACTGTGCTGCTGTGTCACATGTGTGGCTGCCATCATAGCAAGGATTCACTGGAGGAGGGTCAGAATCCTCTGCGTGGGTGGAGAGGAAATAAACAGAAAAGCATAACATGATTGCTGTAGAGAGATGGCAGCCAGGGCACAAAACAAGATGGGTCCTGGGAACAGAGGGTCAAGTTGTCTGTGTTTTGTAGCACACTTTGAGATCTTGCAAAATCCTCACTACCCAAGATAAGGGGGATTTTCTCCTCCTGACTTCTCGCCTGCACCATGAGAACACTTCCTGGGTAGAGTTCTCGGTAGGCTTGTCTCCAAGAACAACAATCCCTACCACATGCCTTTCATTTGCTAGAACCACCTCCGCCTCGGTGCACCATCCCTCTCCTCAGTCCCACCCGTTTTGTCCCCGGCCCCTTACCTCATGGAAGTGGGACTACCAAAAGTCAGCGCCCAATTTGGCCTCCGTAGCCAAGCTCATCGATCGGCCATCTCCCAGTGCTCGCCCACCTGCCCGGGCATGGCCTTTGCAGCTTCCCCTTTCAGTCTGAACTAGGCTGCCTGGGTTAGTTCCCAGACGGGGCTCGTGCTTCCTGATACACTCCAACAATCCAGTTTGCAAGGAGTACAATAGTGTCTTCTTAGAATAAAAGATGTTCAAATAGTTCCCATGTATGTAATTGGCTAAAAGGAGGAGGGCCATGGGTTTATTGTGGGTTCACTTTAATGATGTCGGTTGAAGTAACAGAATCTTGACCAAGTCAAAGGGCCAACAAGCAGCTCTAGCGCTATTTAAATCAGATAAACCAGTGTATCAGAAGAAGCTTAGCTCCCTAAATGAAGCAGAAGGCCCCCTGCTTCTTACCTCCTCGTGCCGCCCCAGGATCTCCTGGCAGATGGGAAGGAAGCACAGTACTCGAGTTGCTGTGACTAAATCCCCTGATAGTACAGACCAAGTCCCTGGGTCAGAGGCAGCATATGCAACAGCTACAAGTGACAAGATCGCGTCTCCCTGGCTGCCTATGCTAAGGCAAGAGCCTGATGCTCCCCTTAGTACTTCCCCATTTTAGGAGAAGATTCTATACCAAATGACTGGCTTACCCAGCAAAGACAAAAAGTAATCTTCAACCTGCTTTAATTTATAACTACTAATGGTTAGTGCCCTAATCCAATACATCCCAGCATCAAAATGTCACCATGGCACGTTCCAGGAAAGCGTTTCACGAAAGCGCGCGTGCGCGCACACACACGCACAGTGCTCACTCCCCTGCTAAGCGTCAAGAGGACAGGAGGGCCCAAAGCACCGCCCACTTAGAAAGAATTTCCTTGCACACTTGGACAAGATATGAACGAGTACATTCGTTGGCCTGGAAGAGAACATGTCCAGGATTTGCCGGGCTCAGCCCCGTGAAAACTCAGGGTGCCTTGTTAAAAAACGATTAGGAATTTCAAGGCAGTGCCACAGAACGAGGCCAGCTGCGAGCACCTTAGGAGTGCGAGGCCCCAAGGTCACACACCAGGAAGCCCGTTCACTCAACACTCATTTCCCAAAGCATTTTTTCACACGTGTCTAAAGCCACGGCTGTTCATTCGCTCTTCTACTATACTACGTAAAGAAGAGATATATCTTCCTTAAGACGATATCTTCTGCTTCACCCTCAGCCTCTTAAACTGACTCCGACAAAGAATCTGGAACTAATTTGCTCTGCTAATGAAGAGGGGGAAAGTGACTTCCCTTAAAGCAACAAGAGTTCTTGGCTGCGGCCCTTCAGCATCACTGCATGGCCCTCTGCCAAAGTCTCGTCAACGCGCTCAAAGGGGCCCAGAAGTGGGAGCAAGAGCAGGAAGCATGGTTGGCGCCTGTCCTGTGACTCCCCCCAAACCAGCCAGCCCCCAGGGGACACTCAAAGAACCGGTGCGTCGGGGGTGGGGGTGGGGGGGGAGAGGCACGGGCTGTGGGCCCGGGTTGCTCCCTGGGAAAACAACAGTGCCTTCTCAGCCCCAAGAGGCCAGGATGCCCCCACAGCAGGTACAGGCAGCTGGGTTGTTTCACACGAACCCTGCCAGATAGCAGGTCCCACGGGAAAAAGACAAGATGCTGCTACACACGGAGAAGGAAAGAAAAAGGAGGTGTTGTTGTGCTCTTGCTCCTGTTTTGTTTTACTCCCTCCCATTGAGACAGAATAAACAGTGTGGCTGTGTGAGGTCCAGAGGATGAAGCAGAGTCCACGCAGAAGGGCCTAAATCAGTCGTTCTCAACCTGGGGGTCGCGACCCCTTTTCCACAGGGCCTAAGACCATATTTCCAATGGACACCCCACTCCTCTGTCCTTCTCCAGGTGGGTCCGCCCCATTCGGATACGTCCACATACAGGTCACAACATGAGGAACTGTATAAAGGGTAATGGCATTAGGAAGGTTGAGAACCACTGAGGATACCCACTCCTTTTGAAAGTAGTCCTCAGTTACATGCAGTCACAGGCCAACGTGTAGCCCAGTTCACCATTGCTAGCTGTGGGCAGGCAGGTGGCTTCCCATCTACACCTCAGGTTCACCACCTGGGGATAATCACATCCGCTGCTAGGGTGATGAGCCCTGGTGACTCCTAACCAAAAGATGTTTCCAACCCACCAGCCGCTCCAGGGGAGAAAAACGTGGCAGTCTGTTTCTACCAATATTTGCGGCCTTGGGAATCCTGCGCTTCTGTGGGATGGAGCCCGATGGATGGCAAGGGTTGGGTTTGCTTTATCGGACTCGAGACAGTTTAGAAGATGACCTGAGTCCATTCACCTAAGGGTCTCAGTACGTGCTACTTTCTCGGTCTTCTCCAGGTGGCTGGCTTTCTCTGCCCCATGTTCCACGTGTGAGAAAAACACACCCACAGAGATGATTCCCTAAGTCATTGCAGATTCTAAATGGGGCTCTATGGCTTAGTCGTCTCTTGCGCAAAAGACCTTTTACAGATCAGAAGCTTACACCCAGAGAAGAGCTAAATGGGACATTTATAGGTAAAGGATATTTTCCCCAGCTGTTTTTGCTTAAATGTGCCCTTGAGAAATCTGTAGCAACAGGCTTTCCCTTCCAAATGCACATGGCCTCCTAAAAATCAACCGGCATTTGTATGTTATTAATCCACTGCCTAGACCCCGCCCTCCCCGCCACCCCAACCAAGTTGCCTAAAACCAACAGACAGACAGCATTTGCACTATAAGTCACCTCTACGTCAGAGAGGAATCTAGTTTCTCTTAAGAGCTTGCTGTGTTGCTTGAAGGTTAAACAAGCGGCCATCCAGCTGAGAAGCAGCACAGCCCACATGGAAGGACAACAGCCTGTGCGATCACGAGGTGTCGAAGGGATCAGGTATCAGGCATCATAAAAACAAAAAATCTTATCATTGTGAATGAGGGGGAGTGCGGAGTGGAGACCCAAAGCCCATTTGTAGGCCACTGGACATCCCCTTACAGAAGGATCGCAGGGAGATGAGCCCATCAGGGTTCAGTGTAGCAATGATGAAACATACAACTTTCCTTTTCCTCTAGTTCCTAAATGCTTCCTCCCCACCCACTATCATGATCCCAATTCTACCTTACAAATCTGGCTAGACCAGAGGATGTACACTGGTACAGATTGGAACTGGAAACACAGGGAATCCAGGACAGATGAACCCCTCAGGACCAGTGGTGTGAGTGGCGATACCGGGAAGGAGGAGGGGGTGGTGGTGGAAAGAGAGAACCGATTACAAGGATCTACATATAACCTCCCTGGGGGACAGACAATAGAAAAGTGGGTGAAAGGAGATGTTGGACAGTGTAAGATATGACAAAATAATTTATAAATTATCAAAGGTTCATGAAGGAGGGAGGAGAAAAAATGAGTAGCTGGTGCCAGGGACTTAAGTGGAGAACAAATGTTTTGAGAATGAGGGCAATGAATGTGCTTTACACAGTTTTTTTAATAGTTTTATTAGGGGCTCATATAACTCATCACAGTCCATACATACATCCCCCCTCCCTCATGAACCCTTGATAATCTATAAATTATTTTGTCAAATCTTACCCTGTCCAATGTCTCCCTTCACCCTCTATTCTGTCGTCCGTCCCCCAGGGAGGAGGTCACATGTAGATCCTTGTAATCGGTTCCCTCTTTCCAACCCACCCTCCCAGTATCACCACTCTCACCACTGGTCCTGAAGATATCCGCCCTGGGTTCCTATCTGTATCAGTGTACATCCTCTGGTCTAGCCAGACTTGCAAGGCAGAATTGGGATCATGATAGTGGGGGGACACAATTGATGTATGTATGGATTGTGATAAAGAGTTGTATAAGCCCCTAATAAAGTGATTTGGGGAAAAAAAAAAGATCTTGCTGTGTTAAGTGCCGCTTTCATATTGAGCCCTTGAGCTTGCGGAGGTGTAAAGGGTGACGTCTGGTTCACTGATAAAGCCCAGTATTGCTCATGGGTTCCCTCTCTGGGCTACCAGTTCTAGGCTGATCAGAACCAATCTGGAGACTAGATTATAAGGGCATTCTTTTTCTCCTCTCGTACTTCTCACCTTCTTAGAGAACACACAACCTACTGGCTTTCAAAATCCGACTGTTGCCCTGATTTGACTTGGTGCAAGTGCCCGTCCTGACCTCACAGGTTCATCCTCGGGCATGCCTAGACCATTTATCTGCCAGTTCATCCAGCTTTGCAGGCAATGTTAATATGCACCGCAGCCTGAGAACTATTGCTTTTAGGACTATTTTCTTTTGAGTTTTTACGCCTTAAAAAAAAAGATAAAAATTCACATATATAAAATTCACGGGTTTAAAGTATACATTTTTTGTTATGTTATTCACAGATCTGTGTGGGCACCACCACATTCCATAGGAATGTTTCCCATCTTTTCTTCTCCCCCTCCTCAGCTGTAAGTACTCTCTTCCCCTTCACCTAATTTAACACCTGTCTGCTCTTTAGGCCAGTGGTTCTCAGCCTTCCTAATGCCATGACCCTTTAATACAATTCCTCGTGCTGTGGTAACCCCCCCCCCAACCGTAAAATTATTTTCGCCACTACTTCATCACTGTCATTTTGCTACTGTTATGAATTGGGCAAACCCCATCAAAGGGTCGTTCGACCCACAAAGGAGCTGTAACCCACTATTTTCTTATGAGAACACTCATTTTAGCTTTCATGTTTATGTATTGGATCCAGTTTAAGTTATTTGGGGCATATGCTGTGCGGTAAGGATCCAATTTCATTCATTTGCATGTAGGTGTCCAGATGTCTCAGAACCATTTGTTAAAAAACAAAACAAAAAAAGATTCCTACCCCCCACTAAATTTTGTTACTTTTGTTGAAAATCAATTGTAAACAAAAGCATTCATAAATATATGTATTCTCAATTCTATTCTGTTGCTCTTTATGTCTTATCTTATGCCAGTACTGCATTGTCTTGATTACCTCACATTTGAAATCTGAGCAAATCCTCTAATTTTGTTCTTTTTCAAGATTATTTGGCTACTCTGGGCATTGGAGTATTCATATGAATTTCTGTAAAAATGTAGCTGGAATTCTGATAGGGAATGAGGAGTACTGACATCTTAATATATTAAGTTTCCAATTCATGAAACGGATATCTTTCCAATTAGTCAGCTCTCCTTTCAAACCGTTTTGTAAGTTTTAGAGTACAAGTATTACACTTCTATCCTTGTGTTTTATTCTTTTGAAATGGAATGTTCTTAAATCAATTTTCATTTTGTTTAGCACCACTATATAGGAACATAACTAATTTTGAATATTGATCTTGTCTCCTGCAATCTTAAAGACCTTCACTAGTTTAATAATTAAATTAGTTTGGTAATTTTTGGTGGATTCATTTTAAAAAATCATTTTATTGGGGGCTCTTACAGCTCTTATCACAACCCATACATACACATCCCTTGTGTCAAGCACAATTGTACATATGTTGCCATCATCATTTTAAAAATAGTGGATTCTTCAGGACTTTGTGGTTACACAATTATGTTATCGGAGGAGAATCATTTTATTTTCTTTCAACTGGATGCTTTTCCCTGTTTTTTCGTGCAAATTGCCCTAGCTACCGCCACCAGGCACAAGGTTGAATAGCAGTGGACACAGCCGACATCCTTATTGATCCCTCGTCTTAGGGGAAAAGCATGTGATCTTTCACCATATGTATGAAATTAGCTAAAGGTTCTTCATTGATACAGTTTTATTCTCTTTTTTTTTAGGCACTGGTTCTTTGCCCCATTTGGTTTGGTGCCATTCTTCCCATCGGCTTTGACTGAAATGCCACTTCCTCAATGGCATCTTTCGTGAGTGTCCAGACTAGGCTCACAATAACCAACACTTGATAGCAGAATTCTCTCCCCTAACTGGCTGCCAGGCAGCGGCTCTGCCGTCTCATTCACAGGTGTATCCTGTCGCTGGTTAGCATACACAATTGTTAATGAAAACCAGCCTCACCTACTGTTTCATTTCCTGGCCTTCATTTCCACATCAAAGACAAAGAACATCCTTTCATTAGCTGTCTAACACAGATTGGCACCCAGTAACTCTTATTAATTTCTGTAAATCACTCAGGCTACTCAAAAAGGAATGCTGGGAAAAAAGACTAGAAGCAATTCCTGCTCAACATCAAGAAAAAGGCCAGCCTCACCTTCAACAGGGCCGACTTGATTGGTCACAGCGAACCGGAGCACTCTCTCTTCAGCACTGTACAAGGCAAAGACCCGGTCCACAGTCAGCTGCTGGGTGGCCGGGATGGCCTGGTGTCGGGGAGCGTGCCTGCAGGCCTGGTACGTGATGTTCTGCACGATGCGGTACGACGATACTTGGTTAGTGGCGCCAAATATGAGAGAGTAGTCTCGGGAACTTGTGGAGGTCACAACTGCAATAGACAGGATAGAGCTGCACTGATGAGGGACGATGGACACAGATGGATAGATATGTAGACACAGCGAAATTTCCTTATGTGTAAGTTTTTTCCTCATGGTTTTTGCTGTTGCTTAATATACTAACTTCTTTTAAGAAGCTACAAGATCATAGTTCACCAGCTTATAACTCAAGAGCACCAAGCTCACGGCCATCCAGTCAATTCCGATACACAGCAACCCTACCGGACAAGGTCAAACTACCCCTCCGAGTTTCTGAGACTAACTCTTTATGGAAGTAGAAATGTCCACCTTTCTCCCCAACTCATAACATACACACAAAAGTTATTACTAAAACAGTCTGTGGACACTGGGTGGATGGTAAACCTGTTTAGTCTTTTGAGGTTCACGCTTAGACTTCAATGCTAAATATTGACAATTATGCATTTAAACTGGTCTCACTGTTTATCCTGACTTGTAGCAAGTCCATCCACACAGCTGCTTATTGTGATTTTTAAAGTATGAAAAATATGAATATTTTGCTTTCTAGTTACATTTTCCTCTTACTCCTGGAGCATACATCCTTGGAAAGTCCCTGACTTTAAATGAAACCCTTGCAAGGCAATCCTAGAACATGAGTGGAGGTAAAGTCAAACTCTTACTGGGGGGGGTGGTACTGCAGTAAATGCTACTTTACTAGGTGCCTGCCAAACCCTTGCCCGAGTTAATCCTCATAACCGTCTGGACCCTGTCAAAAGAGGCTTCTTCAGGTCAAATAACCAGCCTGAGGTGGTGGGGATTGGAAGTAAATCTGTCTAGCCAGTCTCTACCCCATTCACCCTCTCCCGTCACAGACCTGACTGCTGTCACTCCTCTCAGTTAAGAGTCCCGGGAAAGCCAAGGGTCTTCTCTCTCAACTGAAGCCCCCGAGTCCAGAGCCCAGGTATCTGGCTGGCAGCTGTTTGGTGCCCTAGCCTAGAACTCAGCCTCTCGTTCTCTTGCCTTCCTCCTCTACCCCGCTCCCGTGGCAGGAGAAGCAGAGACCAGGGCGGGCACAATTCAACCAAACCTCTGGGTGTCTGCACACCATACCCACCATACAGGGCGAGGGAAGGTGTTGTTCTTACCATTAAGACAGATGTAGACTTTTGACTGGTATGTGACCTTTCCCACTGATTGCTAAAAGTCCACAATGAGAATTTCTATTTTCTGACTCCAAATCCAACATTAATTTTAAATACTGTGCAGATTGTGTGATTTTTTAAAAGCAGGGTGCCATGATTGGCATGGAAGCAAAGTTACAACAAGTACAAAGTCCATTAATCAACAATCGTCCAAGGCCTAGATAGCATGATTATTAGAAAGTATATATAATTATATGATTCTTACCTATTCCCATATACAATGTTGTGATTATTACTATTATTTGGAAGGACCCTGTAAGGGCATTGATATTGTTGTCATTACAGTCAGAACCCTGTTCAAATTATATTTGATAATTATGAGACAGAGACAGGCATATTGAGCTCATATTATGTGCTCCACACTATTCTGAAGACACCCCATGTACGAATCCATGTCACCCTCCCAACCACCTTGGGGGATATTACTGTCCCTTTCGTAGATGTAAAAACAGGTTCCACTCACCTGAGTCGGAGTAGTGGTAGAGCTCCTTGTAGGGAGCCATGTGGACTGTGAAATTGGCAGGGATGGGAGGCACCTGGCCCTGGATGGTGGTCTTCACAATCAGATAGTTCTCTGGGTCCAGCCCCTCGGCACTCTGAGTGATATGTACCCACTCCTCTCCGGGGGAGAAGGTGACTTCCAGGTTATGAGTAAAGGCAGCCCCTGGGCCAGGAGAAAAATGAAGAACAAAGGGATGGAAACAGGCCTTGCTTCACTGAACGACTGGCGGCCAGCACGTCTATCTTCCCCACTCCCACTATTGTCAGTGGGGGGACCTACACGATGATCTGCTGCCAAGGCGAACACTCTCCGCAGCTGCGCCACAACCTCCTCCACGCCCACAAACAACAATGCTGTCCCAGTGCGGGTTCACGCTGCCTCACCCTGCGCCTCTTTCTAGGAACTGTTTCTGAGAAAGCTGCTAGGGGTAGTCAGGCAGCGACACATGGTGTGAGTTAAATTTGAATCTGAAAGAATAATTTAGTAGTATAAGTATATCCCTTATAGTATTGGGGACACTGATACTAAGTGCAAACTTACCTGGGGATATGACATCCTGCCCCTCTATTTGGAACTTAGGCTGTTGAGCCCTGCAGCCGAG